TGTTTTTCAAGTACCCCTCCATAGAAAAAGCTGGGGCCTACCGTCCTTCCAAGAGGATCATGCGTTAGATTCACAACAGCTCGTTAGGTGGTTATCGAGCTGGATTAAGAGCCTGACAATAAGCCCAAATCAAGTTTTGTTAAGATACTATTTCAGAATCAGTTGTGTTATTGTTTATGGGCTAATTTAAATGCTATGAGTCTAAATGATCGTTTAGTTAATGCTTACCGGATAGATGTTTACCGGCAAGAGTAACCATTTTCATCTCTTATCATGTAACATTCCCGACCATCAAAATGAATTAATGGTAAACGCTAACCGGGTAAAACTCTCCTCATTGCTTTCTCTCTTATTAGGTAAGATTTTCGGTTATTGTTATATTCATCCTGTAAGACAATTGACCTGTTAAATACTTACCCAATGAATATCTGGTAAGCGTCATATATACTACTCTTTTTTGTATTACCACAAAATTATAAACGAAAAAAAGGTTTACTCATGGATTAAGGATTTTGGGCATTATAAGCCTGTTTTAAACTTTTGTTGAAAATTAAAACATTTTTACCACCATAAATAAGTTTCAGTCAATTGTTAATCTTTTTGAAATTTAAAATTCAGACAACCAACATCCCCATTTTGTCATGTTTTTGTTGTCCTTTTCTACACTACCAAACAGGTAAACATTTCCGGCTGCTCTATCCGTCGGAAAAAAGTATTTCCGACGGATAGAACCGTCGAAAAAGAGGCGCCGGTGATTATTTTTTTAGCGGATTTTTTTCCCCGGCAGATTACGGACGCTAAAAATTTCCTCCTGGAAATACTCAGTTTTCTAGTAGTGTTATACTCTTATCATATTGACAAAGAGATTCATTTTATTTTGTATATTATAAATTGTATGATAAATATGGTATATTTATTCGTCTCTAGCATGAATGAGCCAAAAAATATCTTATATTAATATCCTTAGAAATGGGTTATGTGTGAGATTGGTTAGGATTGTCACTAATCAACTTTTTACCCAAATATCATTTATCCCTAGATATATAGGGTTGGTTTCAGGTGAGACCAACTTGTTTTCGTGAGACTCGTGAAACAACTTTTTACACTTGAAACTTTATAGTAAAACGTTGTGAAGATTAAAAAAACCGAACCTTCACAGCAAAAACACTGTCAATGTTATTTTTATAACGTTTTACTGTGAAGTTTCAAATGTAAAAAAATGATCTCACGAACAAGGTACTCTCACATGATGGCAAGTGGTATGTGATTGTAACTTAACATGTTGTTTACTGTAGTAGTGAATCAGACGTTCTAGAGACACAAAAAGAAAACAATATAGTGACAAAATTATCATTGATGATTTTTTGTACTAATTGTTGATAAATAAATAAATAGTGTTAAAAATAGAATTGTGTTAATAAAATATTGTATTTATATTTAAATGAAAACTATATCATCATCCAAAATAAATCAAATTTACAACTACTTCTTTAATGACCATCAAATACGAAACAAATAACCAAAGGGTCTTTGGCCTATCGGTATCATAGCCCTTGGTCTTCTAGGAGGTCAGGGGTTCAAACCTTACCATAGGTGAGGAGGGTGTATAAGTTTATTTGTTGCATTTGTCGTATATAAATATTATATACTTCAAAAAAAAAAAAAACGAAACAAATAAAATTCTTGTAAAAAACCAACAATTTATTTTCTTATATTTTGAGTTTTTGGAACATCTCTAACCCAATCACTAGAAAAATAACACCAAAGTCACTAAAAATGGTGGTCCATTGAACACAAATAAAAAATCAACTCCAACCATACACTAAAAAAATATTAAAAATCATCTTTAATATAATAATAATAGTAATAAACATCTTAATATATTATAATCAATATATATATATATATATATATATATAGAGAGAGAGAGAGAGAGAGAGATGAGTTATTATGCAATCTTTTACATTAGTACAACCAATACAACTCAATCTCAACCATCTATTTAATTTGATAAATATGTAATTTCATGAAAGTTTTGATTGTTTTGTAGTATAAAATATTGATCATAATTAATGAATTTTAGTCATTTTTCATAGATGTTTAAATTATAATAAATGAACTTTTGTTATTTTTATAAGTATTTCAATTGATTGTGTTATATTGATTGTATAAATGGACAAGGTTGCATTTGAAATATTATATATATATATATATATATATATATATGTATTTCCTTTTTTTTTATTAATAATGTAATTAGTGTTAACTTTGTCGGCTAATGCCATCGCTTCCTTTTTTTTCAATTATTGGTTGGTTTTAGTTGTAAGGGTAATATTATACTTTATTATTTCATTTTTTAATTTATTGGCGATTATTTTGTTTTGAGGATAGACAATTTTAATTCATGTCGTCATTATTTTATTACATAAATCATAGAAACGACAAATATAAACCGACAAATGAGTAACGAAACGACAAACATGGGATTTTGATGTCTCCTTTGCTGATAATTTTTTGCTTCATTTTGTAAATATGTGACATGTTAATATGTCCACATTTTTGACATTTTATCTTATATTTTTTTCTTTTTCTTTTAATTTAAATCTGTAAAAATTTCTATTCTCTCTCACAATTTTTTCTATTTTAAAAGAGAGTTTATAATAGTTTTGGAACAAACTTCTTTTCATATCTCCAATTTTTTAAAAATAACATAGTTATTAGAGACGCTCTAAATTTTAAATAAAAAGTTGTTTACCAAATATTTATCAGGTAAATGTTTATCGACAAAGAGTTGTCACTTGTCACTCATTTACCTCGTTGGATAACTCAGTTGTCAAAATGGATTTTGTTTGTAAGTGTGTTATTTGATAAACGTTAACATGGTAAAAATCGTCTTCCTCACTTACTAGTAAGATTCTTGGATGTTGTTATATGTTTTATTAGGTAAATTATCGGTCTTTGACATGCTCAACCGATAAGTTAAGTGTTTACCGGTAAAATTTAACACTATTAATTATTTACCGGATAAGATTTTAGTCTATCAAAACGACATTGTATGCAACAATTCACCCGGTAAGCGCTTACCGTGATAAGAGTCGTCGCCCTCACTTACTAGGTAAGACTAATGGTCCTTGTTTCTCTCTTACCTGGTAAGATTCTTAGTCCTTATCATATTCATCCGGTGAGGTAATGTGACTTGGTAAACGCTTACCCGAGTAAGTGTTTGGTAAACAGCCCCTTAGTGCTTGTTTGTTAGCAACTTAACGAGACTTACATCTTATACAATCAGCCATACATTCAAGATACTACATTTTTTACTTATATGAATTTTGAACCGGGGAACCACAAGGATTACATGTAATGGTTAAGGTTCTGAGAGATGTGGTGGAATGTATCCTATTTGTCCAGGATTCAATTCCAAACGTAGATAACAATTATGACCATCGAATTTATCAAGACACATTTTTTACAGCCATAATTTATCGAAATTAGCTAAGACGTGGTGTTAGGTTCCCTTAAAGAAAAACTTTTCATTGGAGATCCTTAGGTGGTGTTTGTTTTTAAGAGGTGTTGAATCTTGAGTCTTATTTCACTTCTGATTAATAAGAGGTGAGACTGACGTCTGAAATTTGAATCAATAAGACTATTTGTTTTTATAAACCGACAAACGTCTAAAATCTGAGTCAATAGTTTGGTTTTGTAAAATCAGGTGCGAAAATTTTGCAAAATTCTCTTGATTTTTATAAAATTTTCATTTTAGAAATTCATCTCAACAATTGTTTAACAGATGGAACACAGTAAGAACCTTTTGGATATCTTTTAGACTTCCGATGCTATCGGGAATGCTGCCAGTGAGTTTGTTTGTGAAAAGATCGATGCTTTCGATAGAGGATAGATCGTCGATAGAAGTTCTTGTTTCACACTAAGCTTCTAAGTTAACCTATACTTATAGAAATTACACACACACACACACACACACACATATATATATATATATATAGAGAGAGAGAGAGAGAGAGAGAGAGAGAGAATGTGGAGGCGTGCATTTCACATGAGTGATGAAAGGACGGTGACGTATCTGATGGAAAAAGAAGCAATAGCTAAAAAAATCAAAAAAAAAAAGAGAAATTAAGAGGTAAATAGTCCGAATTATAAAGTTTTTAAACGAACCCCACATAATTGATAAATTAATAGTTAGAAATAAAAAACAAATACTTACTTCGATAATCTTGTTTATACAATGGATGGGGACATCGATTAGAATCTAGTGTGCACGTGACACTTTAGAAGGGTAGTAGTTCTGCCACATGATAACATATCTCTGAATCACTGAAAAGTCTTGAAACAAAAAAATGAAAAGGACCAACTTTCTTCCGCCTCACTTTTTACTACGTACATTAGTCTTCCAAAAGGTGAAGAACCAATCCACGACAATTTCTGATTGAATCGTTAAAGTGCCATGTAGATGCAGAAACTATATAGAGAGAGAGAGTTCACTTATTATTACCCAACTCTTTATATTTGTACAATTAATGTAACTTAATCTTAATTGTTAATTTAGTTTGATAAATATGTAATTTCATAAAAGTTTAGATTGTTTTCTAATATAAAGTATTAACATAATTAATGAACCTTAGTCATCTTCTATAAATATTCAAATCTTAATTAATGAACCCCAATCATTTTCATGAATATTTCAATTGATTGAGTTGCATTGGTGATACAAATATGATGTATTGCATTTGAAACACAAAATCATTCAAATAGTTTTAATACCAATAAACTGTGATGTACTGCATTTGTTTACCTCTTAATAGTTTTACTAGACAAGATTCACTTCTTAACGATTCAAAAACTGTCTCTTAATAAAACTATTAAGAGGTAAACAAACAATCTCTTATTTTAAAAACTATTAACAAAACCATAGAAACAAAAATCATAATTTATGGCAATTGTAAAATCACAATCTTGTACAAACCAAACATTAACATCAAAGCTATTTAATTGTTATAGAATTTTTGCAAACTATAGTTTTCTGTTTGCAACGTTCCGTACATATGTGAATAAGCACCGGAAAACTTCGACATCGCCGTAAAAACTTCCGGTAAACCGTTCTTAAGATTCATCAACGACTTCTCCTTCACCTGAATACATCGCCGCCGATATTCATCCTCCTCCTCCTCCAACCTCCGTTTCAACGCCTCCACCACCATCTGTTGATCGGCAATCACCTCATCGTCCGCCATATCTGGATCCATCTCTTCCATCGGAGTTCTCTTCGCGATCTGTTTATCGCACCATTCTTCAAACTTTCGCGATTTCTTGCTTAGTTTCCTTCGAGTTTCCTCACAGTTGTCCTTCAGCTCCATCTCGTCTGATTGATATTGAACTATGGTATCGATTACAGCTGCAAAAGTGTTTATTGCGGTTTTTGCCCCTTCTTCTGGAAGCTTCTCTAGTTGATCTTGCCAGATACGTAATAATGACTGAATCTTAGGGTTTTGAGGAGATGGAATTTTGTCTTTTAAGCTGTTATCGATGGAGATGAGGTTAAGTTTTAGCCAACTGTTTAAAGATTTAACGTATTCTTTCTGATGTAGCATGAGCCTTTGGAACTCAGAATGCCACATCTTGATCTGAACACGGAGTTGCTGTGTGTTGTTCAAATTGTGCTCGCTTGTTTCATTCGGTGATTGCGAGATGTTGATGGCCTTTAGTGCTTGTGCGATCTTAGATTGGTTTTCGTGTTGTTTTTGCATGTTTTCCCACATTATCCCCATCCTGCAACAAGTTTCGATCGATTTTTGTTAAACATTTACTTCAAAATATTCTCTGGATCGTTTGTTCTTTGCATCTAAACTCACTCTTTAACAAGCTGAACAAGTTTCGGGTACAATTGCTCATCACGAAGGCGATTGATTTCTGAAACAGTTGAATCCGTGGATTGCATGTTCACAATGCACCTTGTGTGCAGATGACTAATCATTGCTTCGTTTCGCTCCAAGGAGTCTCTGCTAGCGCTTCGTTTTCTAAGTTTATTCATTGAATCAATCTTTTTCTTGTATTCATATTTCACATCTTCACAAGCCTGTTGAGCATCACTAGGAAGCTTAAGATTCAGCAAATCAAATCATATGTCAAGAACAAAATAAACCTAAAGCAGTTGCCTTTCACCCAAATAGTATTATTCTAGGACTCCTAAATCATTTCAGAATGTTGTTGATATTTTTTTTGGAGTATATAATATAATATTTATATACGCCAAATGAAACTCAACCACACACCTCACCTTCCGTGAGTTTTGGAACCCTTACACCTGTATAAAAGCAGCTCCAAGAGAGCTTCAAAAATGGTGGAAATCCCATAGGTAGGCCCCAAGGACGTCTACGGAACTGAAGGGCTGTACGACCGTACCCCGAACGTATGGAGTCTTTGTGTGCACCCTCCCGAATATATATAAGCTCTAGAAAGATTGGGTTACCTGATGTTGCCCGGGCCAAAAGCCCTTTTGGTATTGCTATTGACTTTTATAGGTAGTGTAGACTTTGTTGACGAAATTTGAGCCTTCTTGGGGCTAGAATGCTCATTAACAAGAGCTCATCGTTCCTAATCCAACGGAAAACCAAAAAAGTGATCTAACAAAGGATCAACTATCCTCATATCAAATCTAGTTGTTCATGTTCAATCCTTACTTATCTCAACTAGATCAACATTGACACTAACGGCACTTTACCAACACAAATCGGGTCAGTGTTAACCGGGTAAAAGGTTCGGCCTGGGTATGCAAAACTGAAAATGGTTGTTTATCCAAGTGTTTGGGTAAGCACTTACTGAAGCACTGACCGAGTCAGAAAGCAATTCTTTCCTGACCAGGTAGGCATCTAGATCAACATATTAGTGGATCAGAGTGTGTTGGTAAACAACATTCTTTCTAAACGGGTAATCACCTCTTAACCAGTAAGAGACGGTCCGGTCTGCAGGTGGTAAACAGCCCCTAAGAACACACAGATTGGCCAGGGAAAATTTAGATCCGATTGACATACCTTCACTTCATCGTATAGTTTCTTCTCCCATCCTAGCATCTTGTCGAGCACTGTAGCATGAGTTTGATCATTCTCTTTAGAAGTCAAGTCATCCTTCGAATCATCAGCAATTTGTGGTCCTTTAAACGACTTATTCCATGTAATGACGCGCATGACTCTTGTAGAACGATTGATATGACCTAAAAACAAGCCTTCTAGTCATAGTTATCAGCCAAAAAACAAATCAAATTTGAAAGATTCGAAAGAAAGATGATCTGAAAAATGTCAAAGTTTAAGGCTCAGGGGATATAGTGGAAATCTCATTTTCCCTGGGTTCTAATCCGAATGCTGCCAAAACCCTTGTGGCTATGGAGATGACCCCAGGACATTCATAGTCACCCGGTATTAATCCGTGTGCGTAAGCTGGCCCGGAAACCAACAGTTATCCCAATAACGGAAGAAGAAAAAGATTAATCAACCATTTGATTCTTATATACCTCGATTATCTGCAAAATTAGAGTGATAGTGCAACCTATTGGCTTCAAGAATCTTTGAAACCTCATGGACACTCTCTGAAGCTTTCATAAAACAATCAGCAAGCTCTTTGAATACCTGTAACAAGTTCACATTCTGCACACCTCCTTTCATGGCTGACGGTGGCGGCTTTACCTCACTCTCCTCCACCGCTTTACCGTAACCGCCGCCGGTTCTAATCGCTCCACCACCATCATGTTCCCGTTGATTCTCCAATATTTTCCTCGGAATCTTCGGTCTTCCATCATTTCTGCTACGTTTATCATCATCTTCAGCTAAGCTAGGTCCAGGCATGTCCTTCATTAACGTAGAAAAGAAGTCCCACGATGATATTTCATCGTTTTCCGGTGGAGGTGGTGCAGCACGATCAAGATTGCGATCGCTATGCCATGGTGCGGGCCGTGGAGGAGGGAGTTTCTCGTTTTGCATCCCTCCTTTCGAGATACCTGTTGAAAAGTTTGTTATGTTTAAAGTCCAAGTCTAGCTGATATGAGGACTCTAAGTCGCCCCCTCCAATGGAGGCTAGATGGGCAAAGATTGTCCCAGGATGTTGAGAGGGGGCTAGACGAGTACAGATTGCCTCGGAGTGTCCAGTTTTTAGAGTAGTAGACTTTGACTCTAAATATCATGTCAGAGTATGTAGAATCTTTTTAGATTACTCTCCAAAAGAGTCATATTTTGGAGAGTAATCTAATAGATTCCTCATATTCTAACGGTTTTATCGCGGAAAGATGTTGCTTTCAACTGCAACACAATCCGCAGAGCGTGGAAATACTTCTTAAAGAAAGCGACCTCGTCCGGACTCCGCAATTTCGTATTTCAAATTACTTTTTACAATACCACTTCTTGCCCTACCTCCATTAGAGCTTCTATATCTACTATGCTTTATATTATGATCTTCGGCCTCGTCAACTTCGTTCACGATCAAGTTGGAGCGAGGTTTGAAGTCCGAGGAATCTGGGTGTGGAGGTGGAGGAGGAGGAGGAGGAGGAAGGGAATCATATCGGAGATGTTGCGGTGGTGGAGGGTGGCTGCTGGTGGTGGTGGATGATGTGGCGGAGGTAGAGTGAAATTGGTCCAGGAACCAAAGCTCCCCTTGGGCATAATCACTAAGGGCCGCACCGGCGTTCTTGAGAGCGGCGGCGTAGGCAAAATGGGTCGCGGCAAAGGCGTTGCGGGCGGAGATTGATCGTTGCATAAACGCTTTTCTTTGCTTACATCGGTTCACAGTTTCGACGTTGTTGATCTTTGATTCCGAACACCCCATGTTTCCTCTATCATCAATCTTTTGGACACTTTTTTTGTGTTCTTCTGTGCATTGTGGTGGATGTAAGATGGAAGAAGCAGGTAATATTGGTATCATCAATCAATGTCGATTGTTGGAATACGACGCCGTAAATTAGTAGCCAAAAAGTCGAATGTCTTGCTCTAGGATCAACAATGTCCAAATATTTGGCCATGCGAACCGTAAAATTGAAAATGAGTATAAAATAAGTGTAAATTACAATTTTTTTTATTAACCTTGATATCCAACCTGCTATGCTAGCTGATTAATTCCAAGACGATCACTTGTAGAGTCATTGTATTTGAACATCTGTGGCTGCAAAGGGATTTTTATTCCTTCTTGAATTCGAACTGGGATACCCACACGCTTTTGATCGTTGGAGTCAAAGCTCAAACTAATCGGACACCACCCTTGTGGTTGTAAATTACACTTTTAGTTCTAGGTGTTTTTAACGGTCCTTGTCTTTTAAAAAAATCAATAGAATGTGTCATTGTGATGTGTTTTCTAGCGAATTATATTTTTATGGTTGCATTTCTTTAATGAGTTGGGTCCATGTAGTTGTAGTTTTTTAATGAGTTGAGTCCCTAAATATATCAATAACATGGGTCCTTACACCCTTGTTATTCTTATTTGAACCTTTATATAGAAAAAGTTCAAACGTGAATAACTTTATTTTACGAAAAGATGAGACTTTAATGTTATTATAATCAATCACATGTGATACTTAGACATGGCAACGGGGCGGGGATGGATTGGATTTTGTAATCCCCGATCCCGGTCCCCGACAGGTGCGGGGATTAACATCCCAACCCCGGTCAAACTCCATGAAGAATATTCATTAGTTTGAGTCTATCGGGGATCCTCGACCCGCACCCCGAGGCCAGGTTTAGTGGGGAATTCCCGTCCCCGTTCGGGTCGAGTTCCTCATAAGGTCGGGGCAAATCACCATTCTTAGTGATACTTAAGCTATATTTGGCAAAATCGTTTGGTATCTAATAAGCTAGTTGATAAACAAATCATGTTTGATAAAAATTAACTTATGAGCATGTAAAATGGTCAAAGATGACATCTTAAAAATTTAGTCAGTTATAATATTTTATAATAAAATTAAAACAAATCTCTAATAATACAATATGTTAATTAATATAAACAAGATAATAAAAAAAAATTAATAATATAATATGTTAATTAAAAAATTATCAAATTGATTATTGTTATATATGTACCTTACATGAATTTTAGATAAAACCTACATTAATTTATTATTTTAAACACCATTATATATAATGTAAATAAAATTGATCAACCTCACATATCCTAATTAATTAATAATTTTTCAAAAAATGTAACTAATAATTAAATTAATGTTTTTAATCACTTAATTAATTAGTGTTAACTATGTAAACCAATCTTTCTTTTTTATTAACCTGGATATCCAATCTGATATGCAAGCCGACTAATACCAGGACGACCACCTGCTTTGTAGATAGTCCGGAGTCACCGCATTTGAACCTTCGTGGCCACAAAGACATTTTTATTCATATTTGGATTTGAACCTGGGATCTCAAACCAATCAGGCACCACCCTTGTGGTTTATGTGAACCAATCTTAACCCTTAATCATTGAAATCTATGGATTAAATCATGACATATTTGTAATAAATGAAAATTTAAACAAAAATAAACATTGATGAACATTCTAGAATAGAGGTATTTGTGGAAAAGATCATGCATATGAACACCTGTGAAAAATCTTATCGAACACCTACGGACATCATATGGTTATGAACACAATCTTATGAATGTGTTATAGTTATGAACATATTATAATACTCTATAATTATTAACACATTTTTATGAACATCATTGAATACTATAAAAGTAATTTACACATATAAATTACATATTTGTCATTCATCAGTAAATCAAACATTTGAAGTAACCTAGTAAATCTTATTTGATCCAATAAGTTCACAAAGTGAACACCATATTTTTGGTTAACAAAATATCTTCTCTCCATATACGTATGTATGTATATATATGTATATATAGATGGAGGTTTGAAAAACAACACGATACACGTTAGGGGCTTGGTGGTGTGCAGGCAACCTAGGTCGCTCCCGTCATCGATTAAGACATTGCTTGGCAAACATAAGCTAGCTTATATTTACCAAATAATGCCTTAATTATGACGCGATCGACCTAGGTTGAGGTCCAAATCACCCGATGCCTCCAAGTCCCTCATATGTATCAGATGTTCTCATGTTCTCAAAAAATGAAAGTATTGTTGTTCGAACCTCCACTTGTATATTTAAGCAATTCAGTAAGAAAGCTTGGATAGCAAAACCGATTCGATCTCATCTCCCTTGAATATGCATTACATGTTTTCTACTATTTTCTCGATTAGTCGATATATTGAACAAATTAAATTAGGTTAATATACTAAGAACTGAAAAATATAGCACTAAAGGTTAAAAAAAGATCAAACAACGCCTTACGGAAATCAGACATCAGGCCATGGTGTGCCACGGAGTTAACATGGTGTCGAAGACGAGCGTAGGGCCACGCGAGAATATTGGTTAGTATTAATGTAGGTTTCAGCCTTCTCTTGCATACTTGATTTGCCAGAGCTCTACATCCTGTCCTCGATCGTAATTATCCGCATACCGAGGGATCTCGGTAAGATCAATGCGGGTGCCGACAAAGGCACATAAAGATCGATTTTCAAGATCATCGTGTTCTACTTCATCTATCATCGTCAAGCAACCATCAGCAATTGAAAGCGGTAAAAGATGATCGAGGATTGTTAAAACAAAAGATGAAACTTACCGCTCTCATCCCTCACGTATCTTCGAAAACACGAATACCCATTTGCAACAACGTCGAGATCGTCAAGACTGAAGTTGTAACGCTTTTCGAGGGCCAAATATAACACCTGAATAAGAGGATTACATTTTCTACTTCTCTAAACAAAAGCAATGGCGAAACCCTTTTCTAAACAAAGGGCTGAATGCAACGAAGTTTATCTTAATTCCTATTCGGTGTAACAAAAAGAAATTCTCAATTGATGCAACAATTTTTCAGATTTTCCTATTTTACCCATTTTGACCGGTAACATGCTAATCTTGTAACATTTGAAAACGTGGATATCTAGTTTATCGTCCACTTCACCATAACCCTTTCCTAAACATTTTGTAAACGAGCATCTATGTCATCAAATGTTACTAGATCAAGTATGTCATCGGTCAAAATGGATAAAAAATAGGAAATTTTTAAACTTTGTTACATCGATTAAAAAAAACCCCGTTAAACCATTTAGGAACTAAAGCAAAGTTTGATGCATTTTGCCCTTCTGCAATCGTTTTAACTTTTTAACTCGTACCTTCTTCAAACCGCTCGAGAGTAATCTCTCTAAAGTACCGAATAAAGCATCAGTGAGATCATCACTATAAATTACATCAGCAGCTACCAGCAAAGATGCCCTCTCAAGTTCTTCAAATTCTGATGGATTCCAAGCATAACTAGATTACAAAAGCAGGCGGAGTCCTAACCACTCGTTAGCAAAAATAGGTGGTCCTGAGTAGGGGTGTAAATGATTTGAGCTTTTAATGAGCTACTCGAGCTCAAGTCAATCTCGAACACAAAATAAAGCTCGTTAACTGAACGGGTCAAACTCCATAACACCAATGTTCGACTCGACTCGTTTGAAAGCTTGATTAAACTTTACGAGCCAAGTCAAGCCATTCGAACATGCTCTTTTTCAAACCAAACATATTTATATGTTTATACATTATTTAATCAAAATGTAGAAATTATCAAGCTTGAGCAAATAAACAAGTTAATCGATCTCGAGTTCAAGCTCAAACATTGAAAAAATATTCGAGCTCAAGCTTGAGCCCAACTTCGAAAAAAAGTTATTCGAGCTCCAGCCTGCTACTCGGCTCGGCTCGGCTTGTGTACACCCCTAGTCGTGAGTAAATATACACAAAAAAAACCAACCCAAAACCAGCTGGTCCTAGTAAGCCTGAAGCCCGGTTCGAGCCAGGCCTCAAGAGCTCGATCAGAGCGAAATCTTGGGGGCTGGTCCGCCTGAAAAATCCCAATTGGAAGGCCCAATGCTAGGCTCAAAAAAGCCCGGGCCTTGTGCATGTCTAGTTGTGAGCAAGGTAAAAATGACACTGTTATCACCTGTGACAAGGTGCAGAATTGCGTTGCATAGGGGGCCATGAAGCCTTCCAATCAAGTTCACGTACATAAACCGAAGTTTTAGAAGGTAGCATTGCGGAGTTGAGATGGACAGTCTTAGCACAATTTTCAAGTATCTCTACCCCATGATCTATCAAACAAGAATAGAAGCATTATAGATATAAGAATGAGAGAAACAACATATCGGGTAACTTGCGATTTGGTACGCAGACAAGACGAGACTCGTGAGATTGAGGTATGCGGATCAAAGAATTATGGAAACACTTATATTTTTTAATTTCAACATGGGTAATTTAGTAATTTAACTATCTTGTCTCATCTCCCAAATTTTTGTTCCACCTATTTTGGTGGGATAAAAAGCTGCATTCTTTCCCCAATCAGTCCTTTCCTACCTATAATTGTCGCACCAAACATGGGGCAAGTTTTTGTGTTATCATGTCCTGTCTACGTACCATATGCATCCTTAAGGTTATAACCAAGCATCCCAGATAAAGAACATAAACACAAGGAGGAGGGAACCAATCCGACTATATATAAGGTTGGGTTCGAGTGAGAAATGTCATTTTTTATGACAAGTGTAACCTTCACATGCACATAATCTATGTGAATCTACCTTTTCCACCTTCACATAAACTGGTTAAGGTACACATTCAGGTCTCATCGCCTTAAACACCTTCACAAAATATAAAGCAACATTCACACAATACAAGAGTACCTTCACTTTTCACCAAAATCTTTTTCTCACATGATCCCAACTCTCTCTCTCTCTCTCTCTCTCTATATATATATATATATATATATATAGGGTCAGGTTCAAGCGAAAGCCCCAAAAAAATGAAAAAGTGAGGAACACTCTAATAACCGTTCACCTATAAGATATGCACATATGCATTCAAGTAATTTGTAAGTCACTTGTCTTGTATGCACATGTGCATAAGTGCATAAAAACCATGAAACCTCTTAAATTGCTTGTATGCACATGTACATACTGTACAGATGAATCGTTACAAGTGTGTTCATTAGTTTTTCATTTTTTTGGGGTTTTCCCCTCAACCTCACACACACACACACTCTCTCTCTATATATATATGATGATGATGATGAGTACCTGTCAGAAAGACTGTTTTAGCAACCCGTGCAAGTAGCATACCAACCAATCCTGGTAAAGATACAATGACATCCTGTCATGTAAGCACTGATGTCTCAGATTCAAGCAAATGCATAAAAAACTGAAAACGGAAGGCTTAATGTTAAAACGATTTAATCGACCAAATGCTCTTAGTTGCTAGACCTTTATGGCCCTAAAGCAATATAAAAAGTTCAAATCCTATAGTAGCCGAACGAACATTAGACTAGATAAAAACTCAAAGGACCCAACGTTGCATTATCTATCTGAAGTAAAAGGGTCTGATCTATGTCGAAGCTCGCAGCCCAAGTGAACTTTTTTATGAGACTGTATATTCTTTTTAGAATTGTATGATTTTGTCCCTGTAGTTTGTTAATAACTTCGATTTTCGTCCCTGTGGTTTAGAAATTGCGATTTTCATCCCTATGGTTTGCAATTTATTGCTATTTTTGTCCCTGAACTAATTCCTACCTTTAAGTAGGAGGGACCAAAATAGTAAAGAATTGTAAACCACATGGACTAAAACAATAAATTTTAAATCATAAGGACGAAAATAGCAATGAATTACAAACCATAGGGACGAAAACTGCAATTTCTAAAGTCTAAACCACAGGGAAGAAAACCATAATTTACTCTTCTTTTTATATAAACCGCTTGGGTTGGGTTGGGTTGTGACGCACTGGTTAAAGGCTCGGGGGATGTACTGGAAATCTCATCATCCCCTGGTTCGAATTCTGGCGCTGCCAAAGCCCTTGTGGCCATGGAGGTTCACTTGCGATGACTCAGGCCATTTGTGGTTTCTTGGGGGATTAGTCAGTGAGCAGAAGCTTCCTCGAAAACCCACGGTTACCTAGCAGGTCACCCACAAAAGAATCAAAAACACTCAAATTAGCATCAAGACTACCTGTACCAGCACCAAGTTCTACTGCCACAATCCCATCAAACTCAGACGAAGTGAACATCTTATGCAAAACAAAATCGGCGAGTACCAGTTCGGCTCTCCAAACCTAATAAAGAAAAACGATATTAGCGTCACCAAAGTAAAACAATAGAGGGAATAAGGAAGGCTCAAAAGTAGAACCGTGAATATTCTGAAACCTGGAAACCAACTATTAATGTTTTATTCATAATTGTAATCGCAATAGATATTTATGATGAATATTATTCATAATAAAAATGAATGATATTCATGATGAATAATATTCATAATAAAAATGAATGATATTCATGATGAATAATATTCATGAATATTTAAGAGTTATTTAACATGAATAATACATGAAATGGGAACCAACAGGTTCTCACAATATTTATAGTTCTCATTTGAACTTTCCCCTAGAGAGAACCACACGCATCTTTCCCAAAGGCAGACCCACTATGGTGCATATCCTTCTTCGTAGTGTAAAAAAATTTAGGGTCATGAAATGTACACCATATCATTTTGTTGGGTGCAACCGTATATCTTTTTTCTCTTCGTTTCTTAATAGTCAAATAGTGTCACCACTTGAAAAAATTCTTAGGTCCGCCTCTGACATTTCCTACAGCATATTAGAGATAGATAGCCACAAAAACATATATTTTGCTTCTAATTATTGTGGAGGGGAGACACGGATACAACAAGCACCCTCGTGGCACATAAAAGCATCTTGAAAATGACTCACGATACATTATGCACAAACATGCACACAAAGATGTACCTTAGACAAGCTCGTTACAAAGTTTAGCCTCGAGAACTGTGAAGTTCAAATATATCAGATAGAATCAATTATTACCTGCAAACCAACCTTCGGAATTGATGATGTTATGTTATGCCGGATATCCACAACAAACTTGTCCTTTGAATGTTCTGAAAAACAAGATGATTCCTTTAGAAATTATTCCGGGTGAGAAAAATGCATACACGCATTAAAGGTATTCTATGAATATGATCAGATAGCGTGGTCAGTATTGAGATTTGTGATTCCGTGTCTCTCTTATCTTGCGTCCCTCGTGTCTCTCTTATCTTGCGTCCCTCGTGTCTCTCTTGCTTCCTTTTTGGTTCACTATACCGATTACATGTATGCAGACACTTTTACGTTACTTTTCTCATCTGTCTCCTTAGGCCATCTCCAACCGATGTGCTAAAGCGCTAAAGTGTCATAATATAGCAACAAATATCTCCAATCGATGTGCTAAATTCCTTCTGGGTGGGTCAAAAATAGTCCATGTTGAAGTACACTAACACACTTCAATGAACCTTATTTAACTCAAACAAAATGTAACTGTAATACATGTATTGTTTTGATTGGTTGAAATTTTAATAATTTAAAAAGTTTAAAAACTAAATACTAGTGTTGGCATAATAATATATACAAAGTATAAATTTAACTAATTTACTGAAACCAATTAATATACACAAAAAACTATCATAGTCAAATAAAATATATAAATATAAGTTTAACTATTTACTTAAACTAGTTAATACACACAAAAAATTATTATAGTAAAATTTTCAAATAAATAAAAGTGCTATATTTTAGCACTCGTCAGTTAAAGACAATTAGTGCTATTGGCAAAGGATCGTGTGAGAAGGAGAGTTAAGATGAGAAGCATAAGAAGAGATCTGGACCCTTGATCACCTTTAATCTCAAACCTACCTATGAATTGTGCTTGATACGGGATTGATCCGGTGCATCTCGGTGCATCTCATCCTAATGGCATCCAAGAGGAGAAATCCCTTCTTACACTTCTCATCTTAACTCTCCTTCTCACCGGAACCCAACCCTAGTGCTATTATAATGAATAGTGTAAATCAAGTGCTAAAAATTTGGCACTAATGTTGTATTTAGTACTTTCAGTTGGAGATGGTCTTATATTTTTGTTTTGCAAGTCAAGGGTCTTTACGTAAACTACCTCTCTATCTTCTAGGGTAGAGGCAAGATCTGCGTACATCCTTTCGATTTTAACAGTAAAGTTAACCAGCAAAAAACTATAAACGACATTAAAGTAAGCACAACTTACTTTTGCGTCTAGGTAAAGAAAGATCGCCATCATCATCCAAGCTAACTTCCTGGTGTTGCTTTGAATCATCTACGACTTCATATTCATATTTGCTTTCAATGTACTTAACATCTACATTCAATTATCAGCAAAAAAATAAACATTTCGAATCAAAATTCTCAATCTTAAAACTGGGAACAAGATCATGTTCCCACATTGTTTAATTAGAGTCTTTACGAATTCAAATTACGATTCTCGATTTCGTTCACATTTTACCGCTTATTTGACAATCCCTATTGGTGATTTTGATGAAATCATCTGTTCATTTAATGTAGTTGGATTCACAAAAGAATATGAGGTTGTTAGTTAAACTATATCACGAGCTAGAAGGTGTGGGATACACACTCGTGTAAACTAACTAGAACCCAGAATAGCTGGATGCAAAGGCGGACCTAGAATATTTTTTTAAGTGGTGGCACCATTTGACTATAAAGAAACAAAGTTTTTCACGAAATCTTCAATGATCTATTGGTTAGTTCTTTGTTTTTCATATGTGAGGTCCATGTTCGAGTCTTTTATTGCAAATCTTTTCGGAAACATACTAAATCTCAAATTAAAAGCTAAAACCTAACAAAAAAGACACAAACGAGATTCGAGCACAGATCTAGGGTGGGAGGAAAGCCATGCAAACCAACTAAGGGAACTTGTGTCACCATTGTAGTTTCAAAATATATACGGTTGAACATAACAAAATGATCTAGTGGCGACCTTATAATATTTTACATTAAGACAGAGGAACAAAGCGATGGTCCATGCCACCGCATCCAATAGAGTGGGTCCGCCCCAGGCTGGATGGAGTCTTATGGCAGGGGTTGCGCCCTCTAGCGGGGTCCTAGGGGAAGTGCTCCTAGGGGGTCCAAGGGGCACATGAAGAGAAATGTTTGATGAAAATGAGCTTCTGAATCCATTCAGAAGCCTCTAGGGTCCCTTCAGAAGCCTCTGATAGGTGTAAGCGAATTATTCCAGCAATCATTCTCGCATTCAATATAGAAAGGAAGCGACTATGATTCAAAGGAAATGATTTCTGCCAAATTCGTGACCTGAAATTGGAGACTTAATTTTGTATTACACTACCAGATTTTGGTCGAAAAGCTATTTACTCACGAGCTCCTTTATTTCCTCGATTATCCTCCAACAATCCCATTAGGCGGTAGATGTTTCATCTCATCTAGGAAATCAATTGAAAGAAAACGCTATAAACAACTAAATTTACCTGGTGGAATTGAGAAGGTGAAGTGAGAAACGAAAGATCCTGAGAATTTCGGTGGACAGCCAACGTGAATCTCGCTCATTACATGATCTTCCTCTTCCTTCTCACTGTCTTCCGGTAAATTCATCGTCTCCGGTTGAATCGGTGGCGATATATGTGGTTCGTCGTCATCGCCGTCCATTTTCACCGGTGAGACGAAACCCTACTTCGGAGAAACAATAACCCCCGCGCACCCTCGCGGTATGCCAATTGGATCCCAATTATTATGATAATTTTTAATTGTAAATTGCATGGAAAAAAAATTATTAATATATAAAAAAATTAATATATGATTTTTACAAAATAATATTTTAGATTAGACTGAATTTAAGAGAATTGTGGTTAAATAATAAAAGAAGTAAGATTAAATTAAAGTTGAAGATTATTTAAACTATATTATAAAGCATTTGATAAAAACTCTTAAAAACTATTATTTATGCATGAAATATTGTATATTGATGCATATTACTTAAAATTTCAAGATTACAAGTGTATTATGCACAAGTATAACTTATTAAAGCTCTATTTTTGAATTCGTGTAATTAACTGCGGATAAACATAATCAAATAACGAATAAAATTTTATTTTAAAATATAAAAAATCTAAAATATAATTAGGATAATTAATTATTATCTTTATGAAAATTTATATTATTAAACCAAATACAAATTATTTCGTTATTGAACTTAAATTAAATTATAATAAAAAAATTGAATTAAAAATTACAAAAAAAAATCAAATTGTTAGTTTTATACTAATATGGATATATTTTTATCAAAATTTTATGATATCTTCAAATTTATATTTTATTACAAAATAATAACATTATCGTTTTTTCAAAATCACATAAGATCATAGTATAACATCGAGTGAGATAAAAAAATAAAATAAAATATTAAAATCAAGATGTATCTCGCTGTATTATGCGAGTATCTTTCTAATATAGATAAATAAGAGAAGAAATAATATTTTAATTGAGATTGAGTTGTAAAATGCTGTGAGTAAAGATGATATTATAAGAATATACAACACAACTAACTTGCTTTTACATGAATAACATAAAACGCCCATCTATTTTATTATATATACGATATTTACACCATAAAAGTCCCAATATGAAATATGTCTCTTAAGATTTTGCTCTAAGGGCTGCAAATCTAGCTATAATATCATCATAATCAGGTAGTTTAGGATGAACATGTCCCATTGTCGGCCTCACGGTCGATTCCGGTTGATACGAAGCCGACCGCACGTGTCCTTTTTGTGCCTCCATTGCCACCGGATTCGGCAAACATTCGGTCGAATGTGACTTTGCCTGTGGCGGAGCACGACCTCTTCGGCGGCGGCGGCGGCGACGACTCTTCACGTTTGGTGGTGCTGTTGGTTCGCCATCCCAAATTTCGATGTTTGGATGATTAAGAACTTCTTGGTTTTCCTTATTGTGATCACGTGAGCGATCGGGTTTTAAGTATGGAGGTGGCATGAACCGGAACGGGAAGAATGATCTTTGGTTGGCTGGATCATCCGAAGAACTTTCTTCTGGGGTCGTGCTCGTGCTGGTTTCTCGGCTACTCGAGAATAGACTCGTGGTCCTTGACCAGTAAGTCGAAAGACGTTCACGCATATGATCTATTTGCTTTTCAATAACGGCATTCTCCTTGTTCTTTTCGGCTCGATTACGATCATCTCCATCTTCAATTCTTGTTTCTTGAACGTTATTCCTCTGGCCATTTTCATGACCGGTTCTATTAGGTTCGTTATCTTGATCACCATACGTGTTCTTAGACGAATCCTACAAAAAAAACACGACATTTTTAAGACCAAATAAACAAGACCCACGAGATGAAAATCTTAACGACCCAAACAGTTACCTGGTAAGCACTTACCGGTAAAATTTAACACTACCACTTACTTACTGGGCAAGACTTTAGTCCATCAAAACGTTATCATATGCAACAATTTACTCAGTAAGCGTTTACCATGGTAAGAATTGTCCCCCTCACTTGTCGGGTAAGACTCTTGGTCCTTATCGTTTTTACCGGGTAAGATTCTTGGTCTTTACCATATTCGTCCAATAAGGTAATGTGAATTGGTAAACGTTTACCTTAATAAACTATATTTTTGTTGTTAATATTTTACAGAAGAGCATTGTAGGGCGCGAGTAAAAGCTCTAGATCAACCGTCGAGCCTAAAATTTAGAGATAAAAAAGGTAAAATTTCATCTAAAATATTCAAACCCATGACTTATTGCATATAAAGTGATAAGCCGGTCATCCAAACTGCGCTTGATATCTATGGTAGTTTAATAATTTATCAATCTTGTCTTTATTCAACTTGTTTTGATGGGATAAAAAATGCATTTTTGTTTTGTCATGTCTCATTCTGTCATGTGTACCAAACGCACCCAAAGTGAACAGGATCTTACATGCTTCGATGAAGTTGGCTTGTACGATTTCCGTTCAGATGAATCGGGATCCCAATCTATACCGTGTTCTAATGCTATCTCTTTCATCATCTGAATCTTCATATCCTTCGTGGGATGATCCGGTTTGAACAATTTGACAAACTAACGACAATAGATGTTAATGCTCCGTAATAGGGAAAAAAATATATCAAAATGCATCAGAGTTTGATTTAATTCTCATTTAGTATAACAAAAAAATGGGTAAATTCCATGAAAAAATAACGTAATTTTGGATAACGTGCTTCCAAAACTTTCATTTTGGTACCTAAGGTGTAATGTTTTAAACATTTAAGTACCTGGGTGACCAGTTGAAGCATTAACCTGTTACCATGCTCATGTGGTATCCAGTTAATGCTTCAGCAAATAATACTGAGTTGGATACCACATCACTCGCCACATCATCAAGATAATTAATGCTTCAACCAGATACCCAAGTACTTAAACGTTTAAAGCTTTACATCTTAGGTACCACAATGGAAGTTTTCAAAGTACGTTACCTAAAATATGAATCAAGTTAAAGTACGTTACTTTTTTCGTGCAATTTGCCCAAAAAAAATTATAAGTATTGAGATTTCCTGTTCTTCTACCACTTTGACCGATAGAGTTTTTAATATTTGACGACGTAGATAACCAATTATGAAAAATTGACATCTTATTAATCAGATGTTATAAAATCAGCAAGTCAAAATCAGTAAAAAACGAAGAAATTTGAAACGTTATTATATTAAATAAGATTTCCTAAAACTTTGTTACATTAACTGAGAGAAAATTACTACAACAAACAGAAACTAAGACAAAACTTCATTACATTTTACCGTTTACTTGATTAAAGTTGCAACGAAAGAGTAATAAAAACCGTGTTTGAACTTTTAACGAGCTCGACGAAAGGAACCAACCTCTTTGTTGATAAACGATTCAAGGGAATTCCCATATCTACCGGAAAACAAATTTCTGAGTTCAAGCAATTCCGGCAAACCAGCCACTCTTGCAGCTGCATACATCAAAGATGGAACTGCCTCTCGACATTCCTCTGGGCATTCACTATGAATGACGAAAATTGGCTTTCCGGTTAAAGCTCGTATACAACTTTTACGCAAAAAACGATAACTAATGATACATAAATGGTCGTTTTTATTACCTTTGGTTGTTCATTACCGCGAGATGGTTCGAGATGACCGTGCAAAATTGCTCGATAGACTCGTAACATAATGACCGTTTTTGCTCAAAATATAGCCCGTTGGCCTGTTTCCATCGAATTGGCAAATCATAAATTATCAACAACCAGTCGGACAGTCATGGTCAACTGTCTGTATGGTTTTAACCTACCAGGTAAGAAGGTGGATATGTTTACATAACAACTATAAGATTGTTGTATTTTACTGCACTACGATACAAGCCCACTTAGGACCTATACGAACTGGAATTGTGGAAGGACAGGTCAGGCTAGTTGATTGGGGGAAGGTCCGTCTTTTCAAGCGCTATTATGAACTTTGAACGATTAGACGTTTGATATGCGGACAAAACTAGACGGGACCAACATGAGTGAGATACGCATATGAGAGAATTGCAGATAGTTCACATGGGTAATTTAATAAATTTGTCCAGATTTTTGTTCCACATATTATTTTGGGACAAAAAAACTGCATTTGTCATGTCATGTCCAGTGTACTAAACACAAATCTACTCCCAACATGTTCATTAGATATGACCTAGGCCAAATCGGACCGCACCAGAAACCTAGTCCCGAATAGATATGGTAAGGCTCAGACCCTCCAACCCGTTTTTACTACGAATAAAAAAACTCGGATCGGGCTATGTAAGGATTCTTTATAAAAAAATTTGAATGCTTACGCAAAAACTTTAATTTAAAAATGATTTTTTTTTTAATTTGTCATAAGAATTCATATTTCTACGTAAAATTTGGTTAAAATTAGAAGGGCAAATTGCATGAAAGAAAAGTAACGTATTTTAACTTGATTTCTATTTTGGGTAATGTATTATCAAAACTTTCATTTTAGTATATAAGATGTAAAGTTTTTTACATTTAAGCACCTGGGTAATCGGTTGAAGCATTGACTCAGTATTATATGCTGACGTGGTTAGTGACATGAATTTCTTAACCTAAAATTAGTCTTCAACCGGGTACCAGGTACTTAAATATTTAAAACTTTATATCTCAGGTACCAAAATGGAAGTTATAAAAGTACGTTACCCGAAATAGAAATCAAGTTAAAGTACGTTATTTCTTCATACAATTTGTCCGAATTAGAGTTCAATCGAAAAAAAATGGCTAACTTCAATTTTCACAAAGATTGTGCCATTTTGATCAAATTTCCCAACTTTTACCCTGCTATATGCATCAGAATCGAAACCGTTTTTGAGAAGATCAGCAACATCATTCCTCAAGAACTTCTCCATTGCTTTTCTCCTCTTCCGTATCATCTCGATTCGCATCATCGTTGTCTTGATGTTTGTGTCGCTAATTTCACCAACAAATCAAATGTTCAAAACGGAAATCTCGATTTGAAAACAACAAGATCATGAATGCGTTACTAACCATTTTGTGTAAAAAGTGCTCCTTCTGTACCACGATTCAAACAACTTTCCAACGAGTTTCATGAAATCGTAAATCGATAACTTTTCAAGTTCGAATTGATGGTTTTCAATTGATTGAAAACCTTTTTGTTGTTTGAATACGAGTTTGGGTCAAACAAAGAATCTTCGTTAGAGAAGAAAGGAAGCTTTGATATGAGCAACATCTATCAAATCAAGCAACGAATCTTCGTACATATATACACATTACGTGTATTGAGTAGGTTTACTTTGCAAACCACGTTATTTGTATAAACCGTACAAACTTCATTCAACCAATCATAAATTTTCACTTTGCAAACCAGTTTAACATCGTAATTACGGATCTGGCCATCGCAGTTGCAGATTTGTGTTGACCTTTTAGCTAATACTGCGGATCGAGCTAATAGTACAGACCTGGATATCGCGGAAGTAGTGACGTTTGAATAAACCGGGAGAGAGAAATTGTTAGGAGACCAATTTGGATGTGGGAAATGGTCATTTGAGTCAATTTCCATGTTTTTTAAAGTATTTTCCACATTATTACATATAAATCATATGAACTCTAATGAAATACCAACTAATTTTATGGGATTTCAAAATCCGACGTTTATCAGATTTCATTTTTCAAATCAAGTATGTGATTGAAATATAATTCGATTTCAAATTCCTCTAAATTAAATCTGATTTGTCAAACCAAACGGGACCTACGGGATTAATTAATTAAGATTAACTAGTAGAAAATAATAATTTATATTTTATTTGAAATAAAGGGATTTCATGAAAATAATGTTTCTAAAACGATAAAATATTTAATGACAAAATCTAAGCTTCAAATTTTATTTAATTATTTTGCTAATTATCTATACTACCTTATGAATCAGATTTATCAAAAGTCTTAAAAACAACTTTTAATGCACAAAATATTATACATTTATGTACAAAGTCTTAAAAGTCTTAAAAACAACTCATAATGTGTTAAGTACTACTACTTTATGCATTCAGTCTTAAAATCTCTTAATCTACAATTAAAATAATTTATAGTACAAATTACCAATGCACATTATTATCTTTTCTTTTCATGTTCCCAAAATACGTTTGACACATTTCACTCATGTCTGCACTCTCTCATACCTCTATGTCTTCTGTCCATCTCCCAATGTGAGATTCAAATTGATATTCATCACGAGTTATTAAAAGTTCTCTCATTCATCTCCCATTCAATTGCTCTAGAACTCTCGATCTCTTAATTCTTTGCTCTTGGTGTAAATCGAACACATTTCTGGAGTCGTTTAAATATGTACGATTTTAAATATATTGGATTTTAAACGGTCATACAATTTTTTTCATCATATACTGTAACTAGAATCATAACTCTTATTTATTCAAATTGTATTAATATGTAAAGACCAAATGTAACTTATATCATCGTTAAATCTTCTTTAATAAAACCAGTGAAGCTTCAAAATCGTTATAATTCACGGCTCCTGCCGCATTGCTCGGGTACACAACTAGTATATTATAAAAGTAAAAGTAGTACGAGATACCAAATTTGTTATAGAAAATTGAAATTAAGGAAAGAAGAAGGTGAATAGACAAAAAAAAATGCCCCCTCACTAATGGAAACTTTTTTTTTTTGTAAGGGTGTCCGGGCCAAAGCCCGACTAATCCCCGACAAATGTTGCCAACACTACCCTCCCAGGGCTCGAACTCGGGTTCATGAGTATGTCATGCCCAAGCCTTTACCACTAATGGAAACTTAATTGAACGAGTTTGAGAAATGACCATATTCGTTACAAAAATGAAACTATAGGAACGTCCCTTGTTAATAATTTATTTCAGAAACCTTACTCGTTAATTTCTGTAAACCAAAATTAATCGTATATTTGTTCCTACCAATTAAATTAAATTATTAGCATTTCATATGATTTTTTTTAACAAATATCGAGATAATAAACTTATATAATATTTTATTAATGGACGCATTGCATGAAAATGTAACATACTTTAACTTAATTCTTATTTTGGGTAACGTACCTTTAAAACTGATATTTTGGTAGCTAAGATGTAAAGCTTTAAATATTTAAGTATTCAGATAACTGGTTGAAGACTAATTTAGATAAAAAAAAAAAGACTCATTTTAGATTACAAAAATTCATGTCGCTAATTATGTCAACAAATAATACTGAGTTGTACATCAACATGATAACCTATTAATGTTTCAACCACTTACCCAGATATTTAAATGTTAAAAATGTTATATCTTAGGTACCAAAATGAAAGTTCTGAAAGTACGTTAGCCAAAATAGGAATCAAGTTAAAATACGTTATTTTTTCATGCAATTTACCCTTTAATAATATAACTGATGTTGAAACCTTCATAAAAAATTAACTGAAGTTAATATAATTAATTTTAGAGATTTATATTTTTTGTTTTTATCAGTCGAATATGGGGTATCTGGGATTGCTTATGAAAACAACTTATTGACTTATTTCGATGTGACACTGATAATAACTACTTTTAAGTATTTAAATAAACAACTTATACCGATATCAAACTGATAATAAAAAGTTTTTATAAATTTAAATTATTCGAACCTATAATAAGTTAATAAGTATTGTTATGAAAAACATAATTTATTTGAAGTTAAACAATCACAAGCACCCCCTATGTTTTATTGTTTCATTCATAGGTCGCCTATAAAAGGATATCGATTTGGCGTTGGCGTTGGCGTTAGGTTTATTTGATCCCAATTGTATCGTATTCGTGTAAAGCGCCAAACCCTAATTCCAGATTCCGATCATGTCGTCCAAGCAAGGTACTCCATGGTTGATTTTTCCTCATTTCTTTTTCGTAAGAATCTCAGATATTCGATCCGTTAATTTCTTGAACCTAAAACTCTGTGATACGGAACTTGTTGTTTGGCAGGAGGAAAAGCAAAGCCATTGAAGCAACCTAAGGCTGAGAAGAAAGAATACGACGAGGTATTTTGATGGATTCCATCTTTTCGATATATTTAGTTTTTGGATTTCTGATTTCGTGTCATGATTCCGATTGTTGATTATTGACTATTTTTTATGAGAATTAGTATTCTGATATTTTATTAGATCCTACGTCAATTTAGTTAGTGTTTCTTCTTTCCTTTCTAGAGTGTTTTGTTGCTTTATGAAGTGTTTTCTTCTCTCTGATCTTATCTGATCAGTAATTAGCATGGCCAATTCAACTGGGCACGAAATAGTAAGTGATTGTTGGCCAGGCTTTCTCAAGTGGTAGGGATTTGCTTAGGATGATGAAATCTTTTGAGTTCAAAGAATACACTTGTATATTGGCAAGACAGCAAGTGAATTATCAACTCCTTGTGAAATTGACGGTGTTGGGTGTGGTTTAAATATTGGTTTATCTAATTGTATCTTAATAATTAAGTAATTAGGTTATGTCTCAAAGTTCACCCGCCACTGAATGTTGTGTTTTGACGTTTGAGTTTCTTATTGGGCTGAAACATATTATTTCACGATGCTACTTTTGTCCTGTGGATTAAAGAATCATGTTTGATTCAATATGACATGATGCATTCGTTAGACCTACTTGCACTGCCTTAGCTCTTGATGGGTAGTCCAAATGGATCAATTTGGGTTTCTTCTCAATGGTGGCACAAAATTATTAGCATAAAGTATAAAAAAAATCATAGATTCATAGTTGCAAATTACAGTACAAAGCACTAAGAAATCAGATCTAGTTTCAACAATTTCTAGTTACGCCTTTGTGTTCCATAATTATTAACCATCAAAACTCAAATTTTAAGCTTTAGTATGCTATTGTAGCCTTTAGTTTTTATGGTGAGGATGCTCAAATCACAATGGTGGCACCTTTTGAGAGTCTTAAAAATTCGACACCTATGTGGCGACAATTGAGTGGGAGCGCGGTACCCCCTAGGATATACCTAAATGCGCCCCTGGGTTTCTTCCCCCCTCCCTGTGTTGAATTCCTTGAAGAAAGCTCTTTTTATTGTTTCACTTCTTACCTTGATATCCGAGTTTTAAGTTATCAACATTAGTGCCATTTTGTTGCTGTGGTTTGCTCATTGCTTGAAAATATCACGTCATTGAAGTCAAAATACAACAAGCAAATAGTAATATCCTGTGTCCCTTGATTGGAACGTATGAGTTTCTACCATAAATGAATAATTTCTTTCTTGATCCTTGTTGGAGAACATGAGTCAATCCCTTCAATGTTCAGTGTTATGTTTGGAAATAGAAGACAGTGTTTAGAAAGCTTGGTGATGAGCGCACTTAAATTTCAAATAGCAAAGTAAATGCAAAATATGTTTTTTGAGATTAAAAGATGTGCAAGTCAACGTTTGCAATTGATTCAAAATCAATCTTTTGCTTCCATTTCTGAAATTCATCTGAATTCATTTCCTCTTTTTCCCCTTTTTTGTTTAATAATTCATAACTAAATAGAAGTTCATGATACAAAAGCAGATAGATCTGTCGATGTTTGTATAAATAGCTGCCGACTTGCCAACAGTCCTTGTCTCAGTGACAGTCAAATTATCATTTCAATCCCACTGACCATAAGGTTGTGGGTTCAATCCTCCTCAGAGACATCAATCTAGGTGTGAGTATTTGTCATATAACAAAAAAATAACTGCAGCCTGCATGTATGGCATATGCAGATATGCTTGATGTCACACCAGTTCTGATTTTACATATTCTTATGGTTGGTAATGCGCTTTGTCTTTGCAGATTGACAAGGCCAACATTCAAAAGAAGAAGGACGAGGAAAAGGTGAGATTTGGTTTTCTGGTCTCTGGTAGTGTCTTATTTTAGTTGTGGACATATACGTTAGACCTTAGAGGTGATCATTCGCGGGCTTGGCTTGGGCTTGACCTGTTCTTTTGTCCACTGGGCTTAATTTAGAAAAACCGAAGACCTTTTCTGCAAGCTTGATAACTTGTCCAGACCCGCTCTATAAACAGGTTGGGCTTGCCCACGGGCTAACGGCCCTAAAAAGTCTCTTACCTTTAAAGAAGGATATATGTGAAATCACAAGTTATGTAAAACCATTCGAAATACACAATTTTCTTTTGAAAATAAAGTAGAACTTAGTAGATACATAAATTAAAAAGCAAAAATGATTTCACAAAATAGAGTGTGGACATTTTCTCTCACAATTCTTCAAAAAACAATATATTCAAATTTCCACCTAAAATTATCTTTATAGCAGAGAAAATCACAAAATATATGTAGACTAAAAGTTACTTAAATGTGTGACCTGCCCTGTTTTTTCTTTTTTTGCATTGCCCATGTCTGCCAATTAATCTTAACTGGCTGGTCTAGGCCGTATATGTAACACCCCCAAAGCCCAAAGCAACAGAATGGCCTAATAACTTCGAATCCAATTTAAAACCATGGTGGAAGTTATTGGTGCCCCACTACTTGGGACTTATAAGAAGCTAACAATTCTCACTTTTTATCCTTGTGAGACGAGTTGTTATAGTATATATTTTGAGAATGGTTGTCCAGGCTAGAGATGCACAAGGGCCGGGCTTTTTGGGACTTCCAAACCCTTTTACAGTGAGCAATGAAAATGGCCCGGGCCGAGCGGGGTTGGGCTTGGGGGTTGAAAAGGACCCGATTGGGCTTTTCTGGTCCTTGCCTGTTGCCAATATTTCGGCCTGTCCTGGGCTTTGGGCTCACTAGGCCTGGGTTTTTTTGGTCCGGGCTCAGGCCAGGCTCTGGGCTTGGGCTTTTTTGTGCATCTCTACTCCAAGCCAGCTTTTCTAGCTGCTGTCTGACCATGTATATCTCCAAGGGACTGTTTGGTGATAAAACTGTTTGTGTGAATTAGTTTGTTTATATAGATTGAGAAGGTTTTTGTATGGGAGATTTTTTCATAGATGGAAGGAGCGTTACCGAATAATCAACTTTAAGCCACTACCAAACAGTCATGTATAGTTGACCGAATAAGCTGCGAGTTCCATTAAGCTCATTAAGCTGCTAACAAACAAGCATTAATATACACGTTCCTAAAATTTAATTGTGCTTTGTGGGCAGGCACTGAAGGAGCTTAGAGCAAAAGCTCAAAAAGGAGCACTGGGCGGTACGGGTCTGAAGAAAAGTGGAAAGAAATGAAGACCCACGAAACCGAAATTGTTGCATAAGATATGATGTTGTGACTAGTGAACTGCTACTAGACCGTTTACTATTTGTTGGTATATCAAATCTTCAGTAATAATCATGATGCTGATATTGGTCTTGAATCTTGATGTTGTTTTGGCTGCACCCATTTGTCGAGCAGATCCAGTTTCCGTGTATCGTCTTGGGCGTCTCCGATTCCCTGAATCGAGACTATATTTCGAAATCTAAGCCCCAAAAACGAGGTTAACAAGATGAGTTAAATCTCTTTTGTGACCCCCTTTCGAGCGGGTGGTCACTGAAAAGGGAACATTACGGTGTTAAACATAGGTACGGATCTACATAGGTGCGTATGGTGGCATGAGCCACCGATTCATGATCCTATTGTAGTGAAAAAAGTTCCGCATCAAAGACTCTTAACGATTCAAAGACTGCCTCTTAATTGAATTATTAAGAAGTAAACAAATAACCCATGATAGTTCAATTAAGAGACAACCATTCTAAAACCCTCTGAATGATATTGTATTCTCTGCCCTAGCCATTCCGCACTTAATTTCATTGTAAACAATTACCAAACGATTATATTTCATTTTGTACTATGTCATGAGAGTCTTAATCATTTGACCATTTAATTATTCTACATCAAACCATTCAACAACTGCCAAACAACCACTAACCCTTTGACAAGGAAAGGACCATAAGAAATTTACTGAAATAGCCAATCTTCCAAAGAGGGTTCATTTTTTTACCCATTTTCAAACCTTTTTTTCACTTTGTAGTTAATCCGTATGCATGTGTGAATAGGTTTCCGGCAAAAATAGAAGTGAATGCTTAACCATAAAGTGGAATTCTGCTTAAGCAGTGGTTAAAAACTGAATTGAGGTCTGAAAATGGTTATAAAGTGAAAAGAGCTTCGAAAATTGACTATTTATGTAAATTTCCCGAACTATACTACCATGTTCATATGAATTCTTTTTATAGTTTTTCCTTCTTTTATGGTCAAATAGTGCTATCGTTTGAAATTTTCCCAGAACTGCCTTTGTGTTAACAGAGCGCACTTTTTCTTAGGGTGTATGTTTGAGTTTGATAACTGTAACCGGGGAGTTAAGATTGAGCTCCGTGTGGGCATTGGGTTCTTAAGCCAACCACCTAACGGGTACACGATGGGTTGTTGTGTACCTGATTTGTCTTTTACATGATGCTTTTGAGACTATGCAAGTGCTCTTGATGATATCACTGTGATACACCCAACAAGACTCTGACCGGAAAACAACGAGGAAAACAAAGGAATTGCTTTATTTGGTCATTTTGGTGGGTGTTTTTTTGATGCTTATGAATTTATTTAACTCATTATTACTTTCTTGTTAAACTAAAATGAACAGAAAAAATAGTAGTGTCGACCTAACGGTAAGGGTTTGAGATTGCTCCAAAGGCTAGTAGTTTAAGTCTTTTCAAGCAACTGGTCCACTGTAGGGTTTGCGTGTTAGTTTCAAAGTCCTATAAATTTATACATGCAATTGGACACTCAGGGGTTGTTTACTTACAACTTAATGAACTTAATGGTTTGGACCGCTTATTTGCTTAGTCATATAAGATTGTTTCATTAAGGCTTAATCGTTAAGCCATGAACCCAAAATGACTATATGGAATAAGCTAGGACCCTGACCCGTCCTCATCAAGCCACCTCAAACAACTTTAATGCCGTAATTGCCCCCATAAATAATCAAACCATCTCTTTTTGCCTCTCTCAAACCTATCTGTTTTCTCGTCCACCAACAAATTTATCTGGACAAATAACTTAATACATACAAGATTTGCCAGAAAGTAATAAAAGTAAATAGTCCCTACGGTCATGTGAAAAAAAGAGTTTTGAAGTAAGACTTACGAGTCGAATATGACGGTTAAGGCAACTAGAGATAGATAACTCGTAGTTCTAGATATTATTAAAATAATACTAGAAGGGTACTCGCGCAATTTAACGAGATATATCTTCATTTGATGTTTTGTTTTTTTGGTTGTTGATATATAATACAGTTTATGTGGTTTTGATAAAGATAATGTTTTTACTTTTGAATAAAWATAWATTTGAARATATTATAAAATTTAAAAAAAAATATATCGATATTAATATCAAATTAACTATTTAAAAGCTTTTTTTTGTACAATTTCTTTAATTTAAATTTTTTATTATATTTAATTTAGGTCTAATAGCGAAGTAATTTTTTTTTTTTGGTTTAACAATATAATTTTTATAAAGATAATGATTCTGTTAGAACTCAATGATTATCTTAATTATAGTTTAAATTTTAAAATAAAATGTTTATCCTGTATTTAATTATATTTATATGCCGTTAGTTATACAAATTGAAAATAAAGATTTAATAAGTTGTACTTTACGTACAATTTACTTGTAATCTTAAATTTCAAGTAATATGCATTACAAATAGTACTTAATGCATAAAAAATGATTTTTAAGAGTTTTTGTAAAATATTTTATAATATAGTATAGATAATATATTTGTTGATACCAAAAAATGATGTTATTGGACCACGTGGCACCTTGTTTCTTTTATTTCTTGGCTGATTTTTATCAAAAGCCATTTCCTAGCGTATGGGCTCCCTTTTATTTCGGCATCCCCCACAAATCTATCAACACCAAATCTTTATTTCAAGGAAGAAAATGTGCCCATGATTCAATTTCTATTCTCTTTTCATTCATTTTTCAAAGTAATTCCTCTTTATATCCATTTACGCATCTCCGCAATCCAAACGAGCCAAAGACGGTTTTTCAAATTACGTTTACTGGGGTCAAATATCAGATAAACTTGAATCAGTTACGCTTTTTAAGACTCTTTTTGAAAAGAAATCCAACAGGGTTTCATATATCCTCGTAATCTGGCCTGATTTCTTGATTGTTTATATGATATGATATCGTTCATAGATGGATGGAAAAGAATTTGTGGCCGGAGGATTTGGGGGAATCGGTGGCGTTGTGGCCGGATACCCACTTGACACGGTTAGAATCCGACAACAAAACGGCCGAGATGGTTCAGCATTCGGCATCCTCCGGAATGTTGTAGCTAAAGAAGGACCATTTGCCCTTTATAAAGGCATGGGTGCCCCTCTTGCCACTATTACCTTTCAGGTTTTTCCCTTCCCATTTGCATGTTTTTAGTAGAAAAATGATCAAAAATGTTATTTTCGTAAATAATCTTATATCGTTAATTATAGATGTACAACGTTCAGACTTTTTTGGATTTGGGTTTTCAATAAAGAAAGCTCTGGGATTTTTTATGCTCGAGTTGGGCTTTAGAGTTGAAAAGGCCCGATTGGGCATTTCGGTTAGGTTTTTTGGGCTTTTCATGCTTAATCTGGTTTCTTGGGCTTTTTTGGGCTAGACCTAGGCCTGCCCCCAAAAATTTGGACCGATCAGGGCCTAGACCAAAAGTTCGTGCCTTTTCAAGTCGGGTTTTGGGCTTGAAATTTTTTGTGCATCTGTATGTTTGATATGTCCCTTTGATTCGTTAGACAACACCCGATTTGTCGGTTGGAATGTAGGACGTCTACGTTATTCATAAGTGAATTCACCATTTTATGACCGGGACTTGTGGATGTTAATATTCTTGAGTTTATTCTACTAAAAATCTAGGCTTTCTCAGGCAGAGAGGAGATTTTTATGTGAAAATGGGTCGGATTAGGCTTTATCAAGCCGGGTTTTTTCGGGCTTTTGAGGTCCGGGATTTTCGGGGTTTTGAAAAACCGACGAGCCCTGATCGGGCTTTTAGGTTGAGCTTGGGCTTTCGGCTTGGGAGGTCGGGATTTGAGCAATTTTTTTCACTGACAAATCAAAAGTTGTCGATTTGATAACTTGATCGTTGCTGACTGACGATCTTTCGATGCAGAATGCATTGGTTTTTCAATCCTATGCCACATTATCTCGAGCATTCGACCGGTTTATTCCCCCTACCGAACCACCTTCTTACAAAAGCGTCGCTTTAGGAGGCACCGGAGCAGGTGCAATTCAAAGCTTCGTGCTCACGCCTATCGAACTCGTAAAGATCCGACTACAACTACAGAATCAAACCACACCTAAACAATCCGAAACTGGCCCATTGAGCCTCTCGAAGCACATCGTGAGAACCGAAGGATGGAAAGGCATATTCCGAGGCTTAAAAATCACGGTTCTCAGAGACGCACCTTCATTTGGTTTCTACTTTTGGACGTACGAATACACGCGAGAGCAACTCCATCCGGGCTGCCGGAAAAGCGGCCAAGAAAGCTGCACCACGATGCTCGTCGCGGGAGGTCTGGCTGGAGTTGCGAGTTGGCTCTGCTGCTATCCTCTAGACGTGGTTAAAACTCGACTTCAAGCTCAAACACCCACTTCAAAGATCAAGTATGATGGAATCGTGGATTGCTTCCGGAAAAGTGTTAGAGACGATGGCAACGGGGTGCTGTTTCGGGGACTCGGAAGCACCGTCTCTCGAGCTTTTGTCGTGAACGGAGCTGTTTTCATGGCTTACGAAACAGCTTTACGAGTCTTGTTCAACACCAACGATAGCATGAACAACGATAACTAAACCCTTTATAACAACCGCAGGTTATTTAATGCTTTACGTTCTGACGGATTTAAAAACGCCTCTTCCTGACAAAAAAAAACCCCCTCAAAATGTATCAAAAAATCATGCATTTAAAAGAAAATCTGTCAGAAGACATGACTAACACCAAGATAACGATACCCGAAGGATCGAAATTTTTGTGTTGATCCATCACTGTGTATGTATTATATAGACTTTGGGATCACATTACACGAGCTTGTTTTCGTGAGACCCGTGAGACAACTTTTTACACTTGAAACTTTACAGCAAAACGCAGTGAACGTAACCTTCACAGTGTTTTTGCTGTGAAGGTTCGACTTCTTTTTACATTCACAGTGTTTTGCTATGAAGTTTCAAGTGTAAAAAAAATGGTCTCACGAGTCTTAAGAAAACAGACTGGTCTCACGTTAATCCGACCCTATATAGATATGTGTATATATAGATAACAACATTTGAAGCAATGTAAATTTCAGATTATTGTCGTTAGCTCATAGTTACAGTCATGTAAATATGTAATGGATCTAAAATTTGTAAAATATCTGCTTATCAGCAAAGTCAATGTTAAAATCCCATATCAGTTAGACTTAGACTATTTCTGCTTTATATACGATGAAACATTCATTTTTTTTTGTTAAAGGACTTTTTTGGACAATAATTTAATTGGGTTCTACATATTCTCACACGGTATCATAGCCAAATGAGACAACGTGTGCTTGTCTAGCTTCTGTTAAAGAGGGCGTGTTAGAATTTCACATCGACTAGACTTAGACCATTTTTCCTCTATATATGATGGAACCTCCCTTCTCTGTTACCCTTATCAGACGCTCATTTCGAATTCCATGGGTTCAAATGAGTTGGCGGATGGATAGTGTGTTGGCTATTTTAGTGTCATCAATCGTTTGGTGTAACTGTGATTTACTTGAGATCGATTAAGCTGATAAGACAAATAATGTCAGTTAGAAGGTGTGTAGTGCACACTCACTAATGTTGCCTCTATCACCTTAGATCTCGTTATGTCCCCTTGGGGTCCATGGGCAGATGTGGACGAATTTTTAAGTTTTAGGATGATCTGGACGAATATCAGAAGGTTGGAAACCTAACCTTTTTGAAGTTATTTCTAAATTTGGTAAAAAAATTGCGTTAAGTATAATTCAGAGACAGTGTACTCAGAGCCTATGAGTTTCGAACAAATTTTTACTGTCTCTGAGTTTCAGAGACAGTGCACTCAGTGTACTGAGAGCCTCTGAGTTTCGAACAAATTTTCTAAGTGAGAAGGTTCAAAGCCACACCTCTGGTCAATATGATTAGAGCTCTGGAATTATTCTAACGTGTTGCTTTTGACTCTAGTGACGTTTGTTTTTTAAGAGGAGCTGAAGTCTAAGGTCTTATTTCACTTCTGATTTATAAGAGGTGGTGCTGAAGTCTGAATTAATAAAACTGTTTGTTTTTGTAAATTGATAAACGTCTGAATTTGTTTAAATTGTCTATTTTACCCATTAAAAATTATAGTGTTGAATTTATAGATAAATTTATACAATTTCACATATTTATTCATCATCATTATGAAATTTACATCTAAATTATATAGTTAACATTCATTTAAACGAAAATATGTCATTAATGATGTTTAACACATTTACATTCTATTAAAATACATTAATTGAGAGAGGCAAAGATTGATTTGGTAAGGATCGATTGGGAGAAATGATCGATTAAGATTAATCGATTGAGAAACCCCGTTGTTGAGAATTTGAAAAACAATAAGAGACAAATAAGATGTTGGTTTACCTTTTATCACATAAGAGAAAAATAATACATAAGTGCATCTGAAAAATTGGAAAAAAACAAACAGTCTGAATGACTTTGCCTCTTAACAATTCAGACATAAATGACCGATAACAGTTTTCTAATCAGACATAATTATCATATCTGTGATTTGAGTTTTAAGCAGTTTCAAAACCATTAAATTGGTCGATATGTCCGAGTGGTTAAGGAGACAGACTCGAAATCTGTTGGGCTTTGCCTACGCAGGTTCAAATCCTGTTGTCGACGCTTTTGAACTCATTATATATCATTTTGGCTCGTGATTCTCCCTCTCAATTTGATGTTTTTTTGGAAGCAGAAAAGTTCAGATCAATCGATATCATTATGTTTGATTTTGCACCGTGTTTCTCGCTCCATTTTCTACCTCCATTTTCTTCCTGTAATTCGATCTCTCGGTGTCCAGGTGGATCTAGACTTTGTAATAACAATGGCGTCTTGAAGAAGAATGCTTCTCGAGATCATGATCGTCGGAGATTGAGCAGATATGTGTTTCTCTCTCCAAATTTAGGTCAAATTTTCACTTAGAACCACCGTTGATTCTGAGATCATGATATGATTGAATACGAAATTAGTTCAATCATAGGAATTAGGGATTGGTTACTTGAGGTGCTTAATTCGAAGAACAAAATGCACAAAATCTGGTTGAAAGCTTGTTCGATTTGAATCCACCATGTGATGTTGTTCCTACTTTACATTTATGATTCTTCGAATTGCTGGTTGTATATGAAACTTCCATTAGATTCATCATGGGCCTCCCACAACCATTCAACGTCTAATTTCATTGTAAACAATTATATTTCATTTTACATTACATCATGAAAGTCTTTTAATCATTCTGACCACTTAATCATTTTGGACCAAACCATTCAGCAACTACCAAACAGCCCATGGCCTTGTTTGTTTTTTTTAAAAGGTTTTTATTAGTCTTTTATGTCTGATTCGTTAAGAGGTAGGCTCGTTCAGATTGCTTTTTTTTCTTCAGTTTTTTTCAATTTTTTAGAGGTATATATATTTTATTGTCTTCTTATCTGGTAAGAGGTAAACCAACATTTTATTTGCCTCTTATTGTTTTGAAACCTCTAGCAACGACGTTTCTCAGTCGATTAACCTTAATCGATCATTTCTCTCAGTTGATCATTACCAAATCGATCCTCACATATCTCAATTGGTGTATTTTAATAGGATTTGAATGTGTTAAATATCATTAATGACATATTTTTGTTTAAATGAATGCTAATTATATAATTTAAATGTAAATTTCGTAATGAGGATGAATAAATATGTAAAATTGTATAAATCTATCTATAAATTTAACATTATAATTTTTCAATCGGTAAAATAGACAATTTAAATAAATTCAGACAGTAACCAGTTTACAAAAATAATCAGTCTTATTGATTCAGATTTCAAACTTCAGGATCATCTCTTATTAATCAAAAGTGAAATAAGATTTCAGACTTCAGTACATCTTAAAAAACACATGTCACCTTAGAGTTTTATGTGGAACTTTTATGTCCTCTCAACTAGGTGGAAAAAACTTATGTTTTATCAGTATAACTTAAAATTAAAACTTAATTCATTTCTAAAACATCAAATACGTCTACCTCTTTATATTTTATCTTTCACTTAAATCTTATTTACCATATTTATACTTTTTCTTTAGAATATTATTTTTAAATATTTTTTATATTTTTAATTAATTTATGTAATTTATTAAAAATTAATAATAAAAAAACAATATAAAAAGATATAAAATAAAGTTGGAAACTATATAAACTTTTATTCTAGTATCATTTTTGTATAGGCACATACTTGAATAGTCGCGATGCTTTGAAACGTCACATTAATAATTGTTGGTGTTGTTTGAACAGTTGTGACGGTTTGAACCTTCGTGAATCGTGACAGTTCAAAGGGTTGTCACTTATACCTACTTATAAACACCAAAAATCATCTTCTTTTCGTATACAAATTTAACCTAAAAGTATTTTGCTATATAATCATACTTTTAGGCTTCTTGAAATCCTTGATTACTCAATAGTCCGATCGGGAGTATCACCACTTGTGCGGTGTTGATAATCAATCTATATAAGTTGCTTCATTGTATCTTGAGAAGTAATTCGCCATAACCTAAAGCACCTACGGTGGGGACGAAATTGCTTTAAGGATAGAGAGTTTACTCGGCTTAAAAGCAATAAGTAGTTGATTTAATTTTAGTCATTTTATACCTCTAGTTTAGAACCCTGAAAATAACACATTTTAATCATCTTGGTGAAACTTTCGAATGATATATTTTGTTATAAAAAATATTTATTTTATTATAATTTTGTAAATTACATAAATTAATCAAAATATATAAACAACTCGTTATGAGTAAGTTAATCATTGTATCTGTTCTATCTTATCAAATATTGAACATTGTTTTATCTGTTCTTTCATAATCTATCTAGATACCAAATGCTTCTTGGAAGTAAACATCACCCCTATCTTCATCCATGAGTAATGAGAGAAGCAATTGGTTTATAATTGTGCTTTGTAGCTATGCTTTATAATTCTTTTGGTAAAATTTTATAGCATAGAGAGAAAAGATACGTGATTAAAGGGTCTTTGGCCTAACGGTATGTGAGTCTTTAGCCTCTTAGAGGTCAGAAATTCAAACCTTACCAAATGTAAGGAGAGTATGTGAGTTTATTTGTTCTATTTGCCGTATATAAATACTATGGAGAAGATATGTGTATATTTTACTTCCAAAGCATATTTTCGAGTCAGATATATTAGGTCTAATTTGATACCAGAAGGAAACAATCAGTTCTGCATTAAGATACAACCTTTTTTAGATCATTTTATTTCCATGGACATACGTATTTTTTTTTCCAGTTTTCGGATATGATATTCTAGACGTTTCTAAAAAGATGTCCATACGTTTGCAATGGCATGAAACAATCGTTCGTATGTGGGGGTTTTACGAGCCTTCAATATATTACAAAGATTACAAACCACTTTTTGGGGTTGGGTTCACGTGAGACCAAGGGTTTTTCGTGAGACCCGTAAGACCAATTTATGTTCATTGATCAAATTTATAAATTAATGATCTAATAGTTGCAAAGTTGCAAGGTGGCAATTTCGTAATTAGTGAGAAGTCTCGTGGCGTTTATAAATGTTCAGATCTGACGATTGTAAATCTAATCCAAGGGTTGAGAATTGGTCTTACGGGTCTCACGAAAAACCATTGGTCTCACATGATCCCAAGTCCCACTTTTTGTTCATTTATTTTATCTGTATCCATCTCTCCCTCCCTCCCTCCTGTTCGTGGCTTCATTGTGGATGATGTAAGAGAGTGGGGTTTGATTTAGTTTAGGGTTTGAAGTTTGTAATAATTTAGGTTTTTTTGTTTAGTTTAGATATTTTAAACAATCCCATTTTGTATAATGATTCGGTGATATGAACTCCGTTTGTTTGTGTAAATTTATTTGTTTCTGGCTTTTGTTGTGTTTTGGCGGTGGTTGGTGGTGATGATGAGGGTGGTCGGCATTGGTGGGATAGTGGTTGAACCGTGTACGGTGATCATTATCAAAAATAATAATTAACAAAAATATTAATAATACATACGGGTGCCATGTCACTGTCACGTCACGTCACATTTCACAGGTAGGTTAACCATATTGCTCTCAAAGAAACCTAATCGCTTGAAGTTATTGGCCACAACCAAAACCAAAACCAAAACAAAATGCATATCACAAGAGTTGGTTTGTGATAAATAAAGTTAATGAACAAGAACCAAGAAAATGAGCATACCACAATGACCTTTTTTTTTTTTGGTTTAGGTGTTTAGATCAGCTTGCGTACACGTTGACTAATCCCATTGGACCCTGAAGATAACAGCTAAGAATATCTCCCGTGGCCTTAAGAAGACTCGAACCAGCGACCAAACGGGAGGAGCCTCAAGACCTAGTCTTTCTTCGCCAACTTTTGAGGGCTAACTCAATGCAAATAAAGAGCCCCAAGACCTAGTCTTTATTCATCATTTTGAGGGCTAACTCGATACAAATAAAGACCAACCTTAAGGCTCCTCCTAATAGGTTCGTTGGTTTCTTTGGGTCACGCAGGATTTTTCTTGCTGTAATTTCTAAGAACTCATGAGATTAATCGATGTATGTACAAACTAATGTTATCATCCACGTCGTTATTTAAGGAATAACAAACCAAATCTGTAGTTGACTCGCTATTTCAAATTTGCATGTTTTAAGGCACAAATTTAAAGAAATGAATTGCTAATACTTTGCAAGTTTATTAAAGAATTACTAAAGGGCCTTTGGCCTAGCAGTATTGTAGCATTTGGTATCCTAAAATGCCAAAGGTTCAAATTTCACCAAAAGTGAGGAAGATGCGTGAGTTTATTTGTTGTATTTACCGTATATAATTATTATATACTTCAAAAAAGTTTATAGAAGAATTGGTTTTGATGATATATATTGGGTTTTTTTTTAATTTAATAAAAAGAAAACATATAATATCTTGTTTGACTTGTTGGATACTACTAATTTTCATTGTAGATTAAATACTATTTTTTCTTAAAAAAAACCTTATATTTCTTGTTTAAATATATCTGATGACAGATAAACTTCTGAATTTAATCGATCAAAAATTGAATACCACATTGACCAAAGAAAACATATAACGTCTAATATTGACTCGTTAATTAATGATGTTTGTTGATGACGATATACAGCTCAAATCAACCCGTTTTTTAAGTAAATGGATTGAAATTATGGTATGAATATCATTGCATGTATATAAATGGAAGAAAATAGTCATTTTCAGAGATCAAATTCATTTCTTAGGGGCCGTTTACTAACCACTTATCCGGTAAGCGCTTACCGGTAAACTTAACAGTATCATTTACTTACCGGATAAGATTTTAGTCCACCAAAACGGTATCGTACGCAACAATTTACCCGGTAAGCGCTTACCTGTGTAAGAGTCGTCGCCCTCACTTACGGGGTAAGACTCTTGGTCCTTGTCTCGCTCTTACCGGGTAAAATTCTTGATCTTTACCGTATTCATCCGGTAAGGTAATATGACTTGGTATTCACTTACCCGAGTAAGCGTTTGGTAAACGGCCCCTTAGTCATTATTCACCGCAAATTTTCGGAATATCACTACTTTTGTAAGTGGCACCTCCGTCATCTGTTTGAGGAGTTAAAAGACAAAAAAAAAACACTTTTCACCCAGGCCCGCAAGTGGCACCTTCGCAAGTGGGCTCAATCGATTTTCATAAGTAGATTTTTTTTTTTTTGGGTATGAAGATGCTAAACTTTGAGGGGTGCTCCGGGATATTAGAAAATACAAGGAATCTCAACCAGAACACGGGAAAACTCCCTCAAATCAACCAAAAGATTGAAAAAGCCCCTCAAGTTCACTAAAACAGCGAAAAAGTTCTTTAAAATCAACCAAAGACCTGAGACAATTCCCTCGAAACAGTGTCTCTTAGCTAAAATCACACGAGGCTTACGCGTAAGACGCAATCTTAAGCACGATCAATTTCATTTGAAAAAAAATATTTGACTTCCCAAATCAACTTCCTCCGGCAAACCGTATTGACTTTTTCACACGATCAAAGTGCAACTTTAAATGACTTTAGTCCACTTTAAAGATGCATCCACTCAACAAAAATCTTGAATCTGCAGCTAAGTGTTATTGTATTACATATTAAATGAATAATATGTAAAGTTGGATTCACGTGAGATAAAACTGTTTTCGTGAAACACGATTTTTACACTTGAAACTTCACAATAAAATGCTGTGAAGATAAAAAAAAGCCAAACACAATGTTTTGCTGTGAATTTTCAAGTGTAAAAATCATGTCTCATGTAAACAGTCTGCCGATAATATATATATATATATATATATATATATATGTGTGTGTGTGTGTATATATATATATAACGAAATGAATTTATCTCCATCGAAAATGTGATATCTATTAATAATCAAACAAATTTGTTTGCTTGGAATTTTTTAGTTTCCATTTAATCTATGACTTCATCTTTTAATTCTCTTTCTAACATGCACCCCACGTTCCCTTCATCCCCTTACTAACCACCATTTTTTTCATCTCCCTCCATTTTCATCTCTGATTCGAAACAAAGGAATACGCAAATCTCCTTTTTGATCCTTTTTTTTTCCTGTTTTTGTTCGATTCATCTTTGATTTTGTGAACTTTTCTGCTCGAATTTTGCCATAGTTCGAGCACTTGAGGAAGCGATGGAGGAGGATCAATCAGATGCGATGGAGGAATCATGTCCTGAACTAGAGGCGATATATGCAGGTGATCACATTGTGTTTCGAGTTCGTTTCGAAATTTGATCCTTAGATTTGCAATTTTTGTTTGATTTTGCATTTTTTTGGTTGATTTTGCAATTTTTTGGTTGATTTTGGGTGGTGAACTTCCAGATATGGAATTGATGAAGGAGAGGTTCGCGAAGTTGTTGTTAGGTGAGGATATGTCTGGTGGAGGAAAAGGTGTTTCATCGGCTTTGGCATTGTCAAACGCCATCACGAATCTAGCAGGTACACAGTTTCCTTCGTTTTTTTTTATTATTTCATCTCATTTCGTGATTTTCATGGAGGAAATTGCCAAATTGGGCGACACGATTCGGACTTACAGCAGCTTTCTAAACTGTTCTTGTTTCACAGCTTCTGTGTTTGGCGAAATATCACGTTTAGAACCGATGCCACCTGATGGAAAAGCAAGGTGGCGGAAAGAAATCGATTGGCTGTTATCTGTCACTGATCACATTGTTGAATTTGTGCCTTCCAAGCAAAATACCAATGGCATAATAATGGAGGTACCAAATCTCTTAATTTTTGTGTGTTGTGACTCTGAATTTTCAAAGCCGCTAAATCATATAATTTGCACAGATAATGGTTACAAGGCAACGAAGCGATGTGCATGTGAATATTCCTGCTCTAAAGAAGCTTGATCTCATGCTCATGGTAATAATTTGGGCCTTTGCTTGTACTCCTCCATCCTTAGAAATTAGAATCAACAATTACAGAGTAACAATTGCAAAAAAAGGCCCTCGTAAGTGTAGCTCAGTTGGCAAAGGGGCCGCTCAGGAGACGGGCTTGAACCCCTCCGCTAGCCTCAACCACCGAGTCAGCTCGAAATGCCTCATCACATGTTCCTAGGGGGCGGGTTTTGTGCTGCGCTGGTTAAGGTTGTTGGTAATCAACCTTTTGCTCAAATAATTGCAAAAAACTATAGACAAAGTACATAATATTTAGGTGTATCAATAGTTGTTCGGATTCTTTATTATACATTTGTGATTTCAGCATTAGTACATTTGAGCAAAAGGTTGATTATCGACAACACCAACCTGCCCCACACGGAACCACATGTCAGGAGGCGTTTCTAAACTGACTCAGCTGTTGAGGCTAGCGAAGGGGGTCAAGCCCGCCTCCTGCAGGATTTGAACTTAACCTTGTTGTGTATTTGAGCAAAGTTGCTCCGCCCCTATACCAACTGAGCTGCACGCCTGAGGGCTCGGCATTAGTACATTTATTGGTGGGAAAGTACCCATATGATAAACAGAGAACGATGTAGTAAATAGATAAGATAGGAAAGCTACTGCCTAATTGTAGTAATAGGGTTTTGACCCTAACGTACAAAATTCGGATGATCAAAGTTTTAGATTGGTTTACAGTTCGAATTAAGCTTCATAAGATACATTTCACATTTATTGTATGCAAATGGGGAAAACTAATATGGTTTATGTTTCTTGCTGTTAATGAAGGAATGTTTAGATAATTTTAAGGACCAGAATGAATTTACATACGTTTCTAAAGATGATGCCGAATCAAAATCAAAGAAGAAAAGGGAAGAAGATAAATGGTGGTTACCGACTCCAAAGGTTCCCCCAACCGGTTTATCTGAAGTTACAAGAAAATGGTTGCAGTTTCAGAAAGACTCAGTTAACCAAGTACTCAAAGCAGCCATGGCAATGAATGCTCACATTCTTACAGAAATGGAAATCCCAGAAAGTTACATCGATGCACTCCCAAAGGTAAGTGTACCGATAAATTGAAAGAATTTCATCTGATTGAATCGATCATCATTGATGCATTTTCTGGCAGAATGGCCGTGCAAGCCTGGGAGATTCGATCTATAAAAATATTACGGTTGATCACTTTGATCCAGACCATTTCCTTTCAGCCATGGACTTATCTTCAGAGCATAAAATTGTTGATCTCAAGAATAGAATTGAGGCATCTGTTGTGATCTGGAGGAGGAAGATGACCAATAAAGATGGAAAGTCCGGATGGGGGTCGGGTGTGAGTTTGGAGAAGAGAGAGCAATTTGAAGATAGAGCAGAGACGATATTACTTATACTCAAACATCGTTATCCTGGTATCCCTCAATCTTCATTAGACATCAGCAAAATCGAACACAATCGAGTAAGAATCTTTCACACCCCTTATTTGCATAGCATTCATTCCACATGTTTTAGATCGGGCAAAATGCATCAGTATATACTATGAAGTTTGTCTTAAGGGCCGTTTACCAAACTCTTACTGGGTAAGCGCTTACCGGGTGTCAATTACCTTAACGGGTGAGCATGGAAACGACCAAGAATCTTACCCAGTAAGAGGCATAGCAAGACCGAAAATCTTACCTGGTAAGTGAGGAAGGAAGAAGACTCTTACCCAGTAAGCGTTTATCAGATAAAAGACGTTTACCAACAATCTTGAGAGCAGAGAATGTTACCCGATAAGGTAAATGGGGGTCGTGATTTTTGCCGGTAAGCGCTTACCTGGTAAGTCTTTGGTAAACGGCTCCTTAGTTCCTATTTTTATAATGTAACAATTTTTTTTTTCTCGATTAATGTAACAAAGTTTCAAAAGTTTCCTATTTAATATAACATTTGATGACGTGAATGTCAAGTTTATGGTTCATTCCCTGCAACTCTTCAATAAACCTTTCGTAAACGAAGTCCATGTTATCAAATGTTACAAGATCTCGTCTTAGGGGATTTTGTTTTTCTTGTCAACATATAATTGGAACTTAGCCGATGGACGAGTGGGACCAGTGTGAAGCTTTAGTTTTGTTGCCGGCCCAAACTCCTAGCCGACGATCGGCTACCCCTTTCGAGCTCTACAGCAGGTTACAGATCAAAATTGTTAAAAATAGGAAACTTGGAACGTTGTTACGTTGATTGAGAAAAGAAATTCTTCGTTATGCTAAATAGGAACTAAACAAAACTTTGTTACACTTTAATGCATTTCTCCAGCCGGGACCGTTCCTTTCATTACTGATTCTAGATTTTACAGGATGTTGGCCACGCTATTCTCGAGAGCTATTCAAGAATACTAGAAAGTTTGGCGCACAAAGTAATGTCACGCATCGAAGACGTAATGCACGCAGACAATCTCGCACAGAACCCATCAGGAGATGCAAAACGAAACCCTCTTAAAGACGCAGCATTAAGGGCATCCGGGAAATTCCCGAACGCAAAAGAAGAGTTAGAAAAACTCAACCGTTCAGAAGCCCCAACGTCAATGACATTATCCGATTTCATGGGTTGGTCTATGGATCAAGAAAAAGAATCGAGAGACGAGTTATCAAATGGCAACGATTCAGAGCCACCGTTGGCAAAACAACCATCGGCTACGAACAGCAAGAAGCTTTCGTATCTAGAGAAGCTCGACAGCGGGAGAAGTCCGATGGCACGTCAGTAACCGGAACCGGAAATCGATATTAGAGGAAGAGTAATTAAGTGAAGTTTATAGAAATGACTTAATTTCGTACTAGAAAATGTACATATTAATTCAGACCTACATAGAGTCTCTAACTTCTTCACCTGTGAATATAGGAAGGTACAAAAAATCTATTGGGGCTCTGAAGCACTTGCAAATATGTGCTAAAATCTTGTACAACATACTATATTAACTTTCACCCTAGTAAAAGAACACATATGGTTATGCTAAACATTCCTATCAACTTTCATCTCAAAACCGTTACCGTTTGGTAACGGGAAAGATCATACGTCTTGATAAGTGGATCGAGTCTTAGGTTTTGAGTTCTAGTGAGATCAGTCGTTTTTCGTAAGACCCTGAGACACACACACACACTGTAAAGGTTTGAATACATACCATGAAGGTTTGGTATGTTTTTTCTGTCAATATTCGTTGTGTTTTTCATGTGACGATTTGTTTTTTTTGTGTGAACGTTTGGGGTTTTTTCTTGCTGTGAAGGTTCAACGAGTTCCAAAAAGAACTCATCTAAGGGCTCACAAAACCTGTCTTGCCTCACATGATCCCAGGTCTTTGAGTCTTGTTCCCAAAACCCCGTACATTAATGTCTCACCAGTGTTCTAAAAGGCTCGTCATGATGGTCGTCGTGGCTCAAGGCTCGTGTTCCACGTCATGCTAAACATGTGGCACACTATGGCCCAATGGCGGTTCTTGTAACATGATATTTGAGTTTTCTTACCGTTTTACTTCTTAGTTTTAAGTCATATCACTAACTTATCGAGTGATAGTAAAAAATGTGTGTGTATATAAATAATTATATATACGATATACATTAGCCATCATAAGTCATGTCTTAACAAATGTCATGGCCGCCACGTCACGTCATTTAGAATCTTATGTGTCACTTGGATCTCGAGGTGGACACACCGACAAATCACACGGGTTTCGGGATATGCCACCTAAAGAACAGATAAAAATCTCATGTCACAAATTACGACATCCCATTTTTGTCCACCAATCACATGAATACACATTATCAGAAAGAGAATGTGAACTTGAATTAGATAAATTTAAAATATATAAAAATCCAATGTGTCCTACTTTGATTGGTGGGACAACGACGTGTGAATTTGGTACGAGATTTTTTTATCCCCTAAAGAAACGTTAGGCTATCGTCCCAATAAAAATCGACAATAATAAGCTTTATTACGCATACTAAAATCAAAGAGAAACACACAAATATATTGAGAATTGAATAGGTCTTGAAGCAAGCCTCCAACATACTTACAAGTTATAGCAAAGATATACACTTAAAGCATGCTAACAAGATTTGGAGGTTGGTGATCAAACTAGATCTTGCCACGTGGACCAAGCTTCGGTTTTTCTTGTGGGCCCTTCACGATCGGTAAAACATCCCCCGTCGCGGTGGAGCTGAAGTAAGCAAGGGTCGAACCACCTCCGAGTATCAAGAATTTGAGCAACAATCCTCTCTTGGTAAAAGGCGCGGCGAATGTCTCAAAGAACTTGCTCTGCAATCACAAGTTCATTTCATTTTCATTTTGTCCTAATCGTACAATCCTATACCGTAATCGTGTACTATGTGCAACCTATTAGATTACTCTCAAAAATTCAACTAGTAATGTCAGAGGTGGGACCCACTTTGTTAAAAGAAGAAATGAAAAAAAAAATCCCTGCTAATCACCAAATGTGTGAGGTTCTTGACGATCTGAACCGATGACTGACAGATTTAGTGGCACGTGTCATGTCGCCAATGACAAATTCTTTTGGCGATTTTGGTGGTCATTTTGTGAAATATGAAAAAAAAACTTGGTCATAAGAATGAATATCAAGAAATGTTTGGTTTGATGAAATGGTTTTGAAGGATTTGAATTTCATGAAAGGATTTAGAAACTTTGGCGTTTGGTTTGTAAGATTTGGAATGAAACTGAATTCCATTATTTGTAAATAATTTATAAAAACAAACTATAAGAGTAATTAAATTACCTTTTTGTTAAGGACAAATTGCATGAAAAAGTAATGTATTTTAACTTGATTCCTATTTTGGGTAATGTAATTTCAGAACTTCCATTTTGGTACCTAGATGTAAATTTTTAAACAGCACCCGAGTAACCAGTTGAAAACTAATTTTAGATTAAAAAAACAGATTAATTTAATCCCATCCAATCCAATCCCAAAAACCAAATGATACCGAAAAAGTTCATTGAGACAATAGGTCGAATACCTGGAGGGGATTGTATGGTGATGGAGCATCAGAGCCATAGACGTCCCATTGACCAGTGGTGTTGCCCAAATCTTCCAAATCAAAGTAAACGCTTTTGTCACCATACTTAGCTACCACCGCCCCAGCTCTACATATATTCAAGATTCCCCACAATTAATCACTAGAAAATTTCCAATTTCCAACATACATTGCCTTAGGAAAATCTGTAGCAGAATTATAATAGAGAAGAAAGTCTAACACAACCTGTAAGAAGAAGTGGGTCTGAAACTCAGGCGAGAAGGCTTGAGGCTGAGCTTAGTTCCGGCGAGAGAACTGCCGCCGAGGCCTTTAATGGTAGCGGCGGCAGGCGGTGCAGAGGTTGTAAGAGACGCCATTGTTAATAAAATGGAAGCTCAAATCGATTATTCTATCAAACTATTTGCTGTTATTATCGATGAAATTGGGTCGATCGGAGAATGATCAATGGAGATGAAGAAAGGGGGATTTCTGTAGGGTTTTTCATCTTCTTACGTGGATCTGGCGATGCCATGTGGCAATTTTTTATGCATGGAAAAAGATTAGGTGTTAGTCCAATCAGAAGTTGCCACGTGGATTTGAATTGGATAAGCCTATCCACCGTATTATTATTTTCGAGATATTTTTTATGTTATTTGCTTTTTCGAACTATTATTGTATTTAAAAATATAACCACGAAATACGATTTATTTAGAGATTTTTTAAAATTCAAGAGTTGTTTGTTTACCTCTTGATAGTTTCATTAAAAGACAATCTTTGAATTGTTAAGAGATGAATCTTGTTTGCAAAAAAAATGTTTGTCTTTTAATTATTCTAAACCCTTTAAATGATTTTGTATCTTGAGTCTCCTTTAATCATTCAGCATATTAATTTCATTCTAAATAATTATCAAAGAATTATATTTTATTTTGTACTATATAATAAAATCACTTAATCATTCTGCATCATACCATTCAACAACTGTCAAACAACCTTTTATTAATTAACAAACTTTTTTTATTTCGAAAATATTTTCGAGTCAATAATTTTTATTTTATTTCAAGTGATTAAAATTTTAATCTTTTTAAATAAATAAAATTTAATTTTTGGATGATTAAATATACGAATAACTTTTTTTAAATAAATAAATCATCGAATTTTTAGATTTTGTGTTACCTATGTCCATTTAACCCAAAAAAGTTATATATAACAGCTAAAGAAAGTTTTAAAGTGAAAAAAAAAACTAAATACGTATTTCCCAAACCTTAAGTTATTGAAACCCCTTGCATCTAACGACGTCACTTTTCATCACCACCCTATTGCCATTCTCCATATCCGCATCACTGTCGTTATCCCCTACCATTTATCTCCTTCTTTTCGATATGTTTTTTTTTGTCTTTTGATTCAAAATATTTTACAACAATTTAATGGAATACGTATTGACATATAAAAAAGAGGGGAATCAAACACAAAAATAAACGGTCAAAAAGAGAGAAATCGTTACCAGGGACCAACAACAATGATGGCAGTGAAAGAGAGCGGATGACGATGGCATTGGGTGCCAGATGTTTGAATGACATAGAGTTTGGGTACGGTAAAATTGATTTAGGTAAACAAACAATCCCTAGTAAAAAAAGTCTGTCTCTTAATGGTTCTAAAACCATCTGAATGATTTTGTATTATAGGCTTCCCTTAACCATTCAACGCCCTAATTTCGTTGTAAATAATTAACAAACAATTATATTTCATTTTGCACTATCTCATGAGAACCTCTTAAAGGTTGTTTGATTACCTCTTAATAGTTCTATTAAGATGCAGCCTCAAAATCATTAGAAGGTGAATCTTATTTGGCAAAAAAAAAATCTGTCTCTTAATGATTCTAAAATCATTTGAATGATTTTGTATCATGGGTATCTCTTAATCATTCAACTCCCTAATTTTGTTGTAAATAATTACCAAACAATTATATTTCATTTTGCAATATATCATGAGATTTTTTTAATCATTCTATACAAAACCATTCAGTAAATATAAAACAACCACTTAATTATATTATATCAAACTATTCAATAACTATCAAATAGCCTCTAAATAAACCCTTATTCATCGGAAATGAAAAATCAAATAATGGAGATGCGGGGGATCGAACCCCGTGCCTCTCGCATGCAAAGCGAGCGCTCTACCATTTGAGCTACATCCCCGTCTGTGTCTACATCCATATAATACATTATATGTGTGTTACAGTAAGTAACCAATCATTTGGGTTATTGCAAATAATTTGTGGTGAGGAAGAAGTAGAACCCCCCCTCTCTCACTTCACTGCAGAGTGCAGACTGTCATCGAGAAATACCTAAATTTCTGAATTCCCTTTGAATCATCTTGTACTTCTACATTCACTTTTCATTTTTCTCCATCTTTTGTGCTAAAATTTGCTTCATTCTGAAGGTGAAATCCCTAATTTTACTTTTCGTATATGTAGTTTTCGGATATCCATGGCTTATTTGATCTCGAATCTGCCTCTTCCTCCTCTGTTCGCCTGTGAAAAGCGACTCTTTTGCACACCTATTAATAAACACACAGTTTCCGCTATTGGAGGTATGTTTTCAGCTCTATTTTTCTCCCTGAAATTGAACAATTTTCCGTTTTCCCATTTCATTATGGAGTTATAAACGATTACCCCCAATTTAGATCAGTCAGTCAGATGTTGTTAAGGTTTCATTGACGTATTTGATAGAAATCGATTTAATTTGGTTCTTCCATTGGAGGTAAATTTCTCCCTTTTATTCCTTGAAGTTATATGATTCTTGGTTTTATGATGTATATGATGATTTTTTGATCGATTCTTACTGTGGTTCGTTATATGTTCATGGGGTTTCATTGGTGTCATGATTTCCCCTAAAATTGTTGATGGTAGCATATCAATTTATCAAGTCCCGGATGATTAAAGCTGGATTAATCTGTTTATATAGATTGGAAAGTTTTTTCATAGACGAAAGAAGCTTGTTTTTTAATTGAGAGACTGGTTTGGAAAAAACTTTGGCTTTTGTATAAAACTTACTGAACAAGCCACTTTCTATATTCTTAAGCTACTACCGAATAGTCATGTATAGCTTACCGAATAAACTGTGAGTCTCATTAAGCTGCTAACAAACAAGCCCCGAGTTTTCTAAGGTTTTGACTCAGATCATCCGAGTCAAAAGGGTTGTTTGATTGCTTTCCCATTAAATCACGTATAGATAAAAGTTGTTTGCGTGAATTAATCTGTCTGTATAGATCGGTAAGTTTTTTGTTTGAAAGGGTTTTTCTTATAGATGGAATGAGGGTGGTTTTTAATTGAGAGGGACATGTTTGAAAACCCCCCTAAAATGCTCCTCCTAGAAGCTTATTGAATAAGTCATTTTTTATATCACTAAGCTACTACCAATCAATCATGTATAGCTGAACGAATTGGTTGGTTTCCATTAAGTCCTATATGGATAAAGTTGTTTGCATGCGGATTAATCTATCTATATAGATTGTAAAGGTTTTTGTTTGGTAGAGTTTTTTCATAGATAGAATGAGCATGTTTTTTAATTGAGAGGGACATGTTTAGAAAAACTTGGTTTTCTGCATAAATCTCCCCCCTATAAGCTACCTGAATAAGCCACTCTTTATATCATTAAGCCACTACTAAACAACCATATATAGTTGGCGAAATAAGTTGAAAGTCCCATTAAGCTCATTAAGCTGCTAACAAATAGGCCCTAAGTTGTGAGTCCTATTAAGCTTATTAAGCTGCTTAAAAAAAGGCCCTAAGTTGCAAGTTCTATTAAGCTCATTAAGTTGCTATCAAATAGGGGCAGTGAATTGCCTTCTCACTCAGCTTCTCTAGTATATCCTGGGCTAGAGCTTCTGAACGGGCTTGGAAGGCCCGGGTCCGAGCAAAAAAAAGCTCGGACGAGGGGCATCTCTAGTATATCCCACCAGAAGGTGAGGTGGGGCCAGAAAAACGTTCGGTTTTTCATCATTCATGCTTATTGTATACCATCACCGGATTGCAGGACAACAAGGCCGTGTTGCAGTTATTGCAAAGGCAACAAGCGGAAGTTCCAAGTCTTCTACCTCTTTGAGCATCGTTGAGTCTGTCCAAAATTTCGTGAGTCTTTTCCGCGATTATTTAGGAGAATAACCTTCTGACAATTTTTTTCTAACAATTCTTGTGTTAGCGAAGAGTCATTCTTCTTTTAGCCAGAAGCATTCTTAAATCTATCAGAAGGTCATGAATTTAAAAAAAATATGCCAAAAAAGGCTATCTTGAGCACGTATCGAAACCAATGTACTTTCTTCTAGTCTTAGATGTTTGTATATGTATTGTGGTTGAAACAGTGGGATAAACCCGAAGATCGGATCGCTCTCGTTGGATTCGGATTTGCGGCTGTCGTGGTTTTGTGGGCATCGCTAAGTGTAGTCACGGTAAATGTTTTACTCTATTTATTTCTTAATTATAGATTACTCTGCAAAAGAGCCATTAAACAGAGAGGCGAAGGATGGTGTGATAAGGAGAGTTAAGGTGAGAAGCGTAAGAAGAGATCTAGACCCTTGATTACCTTTAATCTTAAACCCACCCATAAATTGCATTTGATAGAGGGATTGATTCGGTGCCTCTCATTCTAATGTGCATCCAAGGGTGGAGATCCCTTCTCATGCTTTTCACCGGAACACAACCCTAAAAAGAGAAAGGAGGTTCCAACATATATTTAAATATGCAAAAGTCCCGGGCTTTTTCAAGCCTAGGCCCGGGCCTTCCATGCCCATTTTCAGTGAGTAAAAAAATGGTCCGGGCCGAGATTTAGGGTTGAAAGAAAAGCTTGGTCGGGCTTTTTTGGACCGGGCCTACCCCTAAAGTTTCAGCTTGGTCAGGCTTTGAGACCTGGCCCGTAATGGGCTTCGGGCTCACTAGGCTCAGGATTTTTCGGGCCGGGCATGGGGTTTTTTGTGCATCTCTATTGAGTATAATAGGTTGAAGTCTAACAGATGTGGGATTCTAACAAAACAATCGATCTTTTAGAGAGATACTATGTAACTAGTTGGCATTTTGTTATGATACCGGAAAACTTATCATATTTTGACATATTGGCTCGTGTTATTTCTGACACTACATCTCTCATGTGAATAGGCCATCGACAAACTTCCGGTTGTCCCAAGCGTATTTGAACTCGTTGGCATTTTGTTTTCAACGGTAAGTAATGTCATTCAACATCGTTATATATATGTAGATTTTTTTGAAATATATAATATTTTTATATTGCAAAACTCGTACATATTATCACTTTTGGTGAGATTTGAATCTTGACCTTCAAAAGGTTAGGATATACCTGTAACCCGAATGCCACTGAACCATTGACCCTTTCGTGGCATGGTTATATTATATGTACAATATTCTTCCCTGAGCTCACTTTGCTACTTTGAGTCGTTTTTCAAATATTAACGTCGTTTTCTTGACTTTCAGTGGTTCGTATATCGATATCTCTTATTCAAACCCGACAGGTAAAACCGTTGTACCTTCAACTGGATTACTAATTAGCCATGAGTTAACGAGAATTCCGCTTTGCCACGATTGTCAAACATATTATTTTTCAAATTTACATAAAAATGATTCTTTTAGTATTTTGAAAAACGGGTGCGACTATACCAGCACTAATGCATCGCATTCCATAAGAACCATCCTCGTTAAGCATATTTAGTCAAGAGTAGTACTTATTCATCCTAAAATAAATGACGACAATGAAAAAGTCATAAAGTTTAGAAATGCTTAAATATTTATATTGATGTTAATCAACTAAATGGCAATTGTGCCCTTTAATAGTAGAGGTAATAATAAATTTCTTTATCTCATAATTAAGGATAGAATTGGTAAAGAGACTTATTAGGGGCCGTTTACTAGACGCTTACCCGGTAAGTGCTTAATGGGTAGTTTTCCTTACCGGATGAACATGACAAAGGTCAAATATCTTACCCGGTAAGAGCGATGATAAAGATGAAGAGTCTTACTCGGTAAGTGAGGGTGACGACTCTTACCCGAATAAGCGTTTACTGGGTAAATTGTTGCATACGATACCATTTTGATGTACTACAATCTTACCCGATAAAATAAATTACAGTATTGACTCCCAAAGGTAAGCACTTATCGGGTAAGCATTTAGGTAAACGGCCCCTTACTTTTGAAATTAGACATTTATTTTTGGGAAAAACTAAAACTAAAATGTAGAGACTTATTGATTGGTTAAGGAAAAGGACTGATGTCATTGGTTTACAGGAAAGAGTTGGTCGAAGCCATCAACAAGTCGGTATCTGATATTCTCGGCCAATAATTGCAAGGAATGAGAACAAGAAAGTGTCGATATGTAGTTTTTGTATCGTGGTTTGGCTCCGATTGTGTTGTAGCTTTGTAGTGATCGATCTCGAATACGAGAAACTTGTAGGTCACGATCCGTTTTTGTAACGACAATAAATGCTTTTCGTTCATCGTGAATTTAGCTTCGAGTTGTTTTCTTACTAGTTTTCGTGAACTTCAATATAGAATGATGGGTTCCGGTGAGAATAAGAGTTGTGATGAGAGGTGAGAACAAAACATTCATATACATTTAACTACCTTTATTTACCTATTTTTTTTTATCGTTATGACCGAAACTTTAACAAATTCATGAATGTGAAAAGTGATTAAATATATGTAAAATTTCATTAAAGTGACTTACAAGTGAAAATACACTTGAAAATATAGATAGATGAATGTAGTTGAAGACACTGAAACTAATTGAAAACAATTAAGTTGGATTAAAAAGTCAACTTATCCAAAGGCTTAGAACTGTTCTCGTCATAATTCTTGTTGTCACTTATCTTATTGGGTGATGTTTATAAGTTTCAAAATCTTATATGGTAAGAGGCATAACAAATATCGAGAATTTTATCTGATAAACGAAGGAGAAAAGTCGATTATCTAGTGATGTTTATCAACTGTTGAACAATTATTATGTCCAATTCTGTCATGCTATGTGTTTTTCGCTGAATCTAACTTCGTTAGAGGTTGTTTATTTACTTCTTAATAGTTTTATTAAAATGTAGCCTCTGAATTATTAAGAAATTAATCTTGTTTGACAAAAAAAAAAAAAAAACTGTTTTTTAATGGTTTTAAAACTCTCTAAATGATTTTGTATCATGGTCCTCCCTTAACCATTCAACACCCTATTTCCATTATAAGCAATTACCGCAAAATTATATTTTATTTTATACTATATTATAAAAATCTTTTCATAGTCAATCATTATATACGAAATCATACCTGTCAAACATGATGTATTATATTTACTTAAAAAAGTTAAATAGAAGTGTTTCTATAAAGCAACCTACGGGTGCCGTTAGCCCACCAGAGCTCAAATGCTGAATCGAGTTCAAGCGACAGCAAAAGCCAAGAGATCTCTTGCCACCATCTTTGATTCCGATCCTTCATCGAGTCCTCGTTACCAGTACCGATCTTTATATCACTCACAGTTACCACCGACAACCCACCATCACCATCTTCCTCCGAAGCTCCACCTCACCAATCGCTCTCCATTGGACTATCGATCCATCCTAAGAAGCTTCATTTCTCGAAGAGCGATCCAGCCAGGTAGACAGCTTCATGCACATCTTTGCCTTATTGGCTTAGGATACGACACCATTTTAGCTACTAAACTTGTTGATTTATACTGTTCGTGCAACTATTTGTCCAATGCCCACCAACTGTTTGATAGAATTTCTAAACGAAATGTCTTTCTTTGGAACGTTTTGATTCGTGGGTATGCTTGGAATGGTCCTTATAATGCTGCAGTTTCGCTATACTATGAAATGATTGAAAATGGGGTTGTCCCTGATAATTTTACATTCCCGTTTGTTCTTAAAGCGTGCTCGAATCTTAGCGCCATTGGTGTGGGGCGGGATGTTCATGATCATGTGGTGAGAACCGGTTGGGAGACGGATGTTTTTGTGGGTGCGGCTTTGATTGATATGTATGCAAAGTGTGGTAATGTTGGTAGTGCACGCCAGGTGTTTGATAAAATACTTGAAAGAGATGTTGTTATGTGGAATTCTATGCTTGCTGCTTATGCTCAGAATGGGCATCCTGATGACTGCTTGATTCTGTGCGGTGAAATGGCGGTAAACGGAGTGAGACCGACCGTCGCGACTCTTGTCACCTCCATCTCGGCCGCCGCTGACACGGCGGCCCTCCCACAAGGGCGAGAGCTTCATGGATATAGCTGGAGACAAGGGTTCGAGTTTCAGGATAAAGTGAAAACCGCACTCGTTGATATGTATGCAAAGAGCGGTTCTGTAACGGTAGCTAGAAATCTTTTTGAATGGTTATCAGAAAAAAGGGTCGTTTCCTGGAACGCTATGATCACTGGATACGCAATGCACGGGCACGCTATGGAAGCGCTCGATTTGTTCAAAAAGATGGCTCGTGAAGCCCAGCCCGATCATATAACCTTTGTGGGTGTTCTTTCGGCTTGTAATCATGGCGGTTTACTTACCGAAGGGCGGGAATTCTTCGAATCGATGATACATGAATACCGAATAACACCAACCGTTCAACACTATTCGTCTATGGTTGATCTAATCGGCCATTACGGCCGTTTAGATGAAGCTTATAATCTGATCAAGAATATGAACATTAAACCCGATTCCGGAATCTGGGGAGCGCTGCTAAACTCGTGCAAGATTCACAAAAACGTCGAGCTGGGTGAACTCGCATTAGAGAAGCTAATTGAGCTCGAACCAGACGAAGCCGGGAACTACGTGATTATGTCAAACATTTACGCGCAATCCGGGAGGTGGGAGGGAGTTGCAAAGCTGCGAGATTTAATGACGAATAAGAAACTAAAGAAAGACGTTGCGTGTAGCTGGATCGAAGTGAACAACAAAGTGCACGCATTTCTTTCGGGCGATAATTCCCATCCAATGTGCAATGAAATAAACGCGGAACTAGAAAGGGTCGAGAAACTGATGATCGAAGTGGGATATGTGCCAAATACCGCACCCGTGTTTCATGATGTGGATGATGACGAAAAGACGAGAATGGTGTGTCGACATAGCGAGCGGCTTGCGATTGCGTTTGGGCTGATTAGTACCCCAAATCGGAGTAAACTTTTGATCACGAAAAACCTTCGGGTTTGTGAGGATTGCCATGATGCGATCAAGTTCATATCGAAGATTACCGAAAGGGAGATAGTGTTTAGAGATGTGAATCGATATCATCATTTTAAAGATGGGTTGTGTTCTTGTGGGGATTATTGGTGAGTAGTGAGCATAGGGAGTTGGGGGCACAGATTTTACTGGTCGTACATGGAACCCGCCTTCAAGGATACCAATATGAGGGGACATTTTTTGGCTCACTCAGCGGTTGAGGTTGGCGCGTGCTGCCCCGGGGGCTAGGATTTGAACCCAGAATCTGTCTTGTATTTAGGTAAAGTAATTGTTCTTCCAATCACATCCCTTAAAAACGATACCATTTGATTTGATAACGTAATTGATAAAATTATTTTGTTGTTTGTCTTTTCGGATGAGGGGCAGATAGTGTGACGATTGTCGGGACGAGGAGGAGGGGAAGATGAGCAATTGATTGTAAAAATGGAAGCATTAAGGATGTTTGGTTCGTGGAATGGAATCTGATGGAATTGGAATCTATTAAAATTGGAAATTTAAATGAAATTGAGGGGCCGTAAATTTAGTTATTAAATAACAATGTACATAAACATCAACTAAAAAATATCGTAAAATGTTAATAATTATATATAGATATTAATTGGATGGTCATTGGATTTGATTGGTTCGGTTTTATTGGATGTTGGACTCTCATCGAAGAACCGACCGATTTGATTTGGATGTTGAAATTTTGGACACGATCCGATCCGATTCAATTACAATTGGATATCCAGTTATGGTCGGTCGGTTCTAATTGAATTGATCGGTTTAAATTGGATCATATGACTTTCTGCACATCCCTATTAACTAGCATAGACGGTAGGTGGGACGCTCAGGGGTACATGGTGGGGGTAGTGTAGCAAGCCGAGAGATAAGCTATCAGAGTTTTAAAATCGACTGAGGTTGTGTTGTTACCTTACCTTCGTTACGTTTCTTCTACCTATTATCTATGTTCTTTAAACATTTTACGCAATTTTGTTTTTGTACACACTTTTTGTAAGTTTAAGGTCTTTACGGAAACATACACTCTAACTCTTCACGGTAGAGGACATGTTTGCATACATCCCTTTCAACATAGACTTCTTTTGTTTGGTTTGGTTTATATATACATCTAGGGTTGGGTTCACATGAGACATTTTTTCACACTTGAAACTTTACAGCAAAACCTATGAAGGTAAAAAAAAATCGAACCTTCACATAAAAAATATTGTTATCGTATACGTATATACATAAATAACTAAATATGTTAAATTGTTTTGATTTTTTTAAAAGTTTCGAGGAAAAAAACTATCACAAATACACATATTAATCTCTTAAAAAAATCAAATATTCAAAATGTATCTAAAAAATCAAATACATTCATCGTGAATGTCTCGTCCATATTCATCATGAATATAGACACGGTGTTCTCAATAGCAAATTTCTCTACTTCAATTTTTATTCAAATTTTCAAGTTAATTTCTAAACTAAGAGGCCATTTACCAAATGTTTTACTCGGATAAGCGCTTACAAGTCACATTACCCTACCAAATCAATATAACAAGAACTAAGAATCTTACTCGGTAAGAGCGAAGACAAAGACTGAGAGTCTTATCCGGTAAGTGATATCGACGGCTCTTATCACGGTTAACACTTATCGGGTAAATTGTTGCATATTATAGGGACAAACCTACTTTGGTGGTTATGGTGGCACGTGCCACCATATTATTCATCCGTCGAAGGGTAAAAAGTTTTAGATTCGTAAAAGGTGTAACTGTATTAATTTGTTTTGTGCCACCATATGTATTTGAAATTACAATGAGAACAAGTTTTATTTGGTAGAGTTCGTTTACAAGACTTTTATTCCATCCAGACCCAAATTCGAATCATGTAACTGTCACTTTTTTTAGTCAAAAGGTGCTATTGATTGAAAAAAAAATCCGTATATTTGTTTCTTATGGTCAAAGGGTGCCACCGTTGGAAATTTTTTCCCTACAATTTTTTCTTATAGTAAAATGGTGCCAACAATTTGAAAAAATTTATGAGCTGTCCCTGACATGCTATATATTTTTGGTGGATTAAAATCTTACCCGGTAAGTAACTAATAGTGTTAAATTTGGGCAAAATGCATGAAAAAGTAACGTACTTTATCTTGATTCTTATTTTGGGTAGCGTACTTTCAACTTTTTTGGTACATAAAATGTAAAGTTTTAAACATTTAAATACTCGGATAACCTGTTGAAACATCAACACGGTAACCTGTTAATGTTTCGACCAATTATCTAAATACTTAAATATTTAAAACATTAAATCTTTAACTACCAAAATGACAAAATAAAAATCTAAGTTAAAATACTTATTTTTCGATATAACTTTTATCTCTTTTAACTCGATTTTGAGGATGTTTGCCATGAAAATATAATAAACATGTTTATTCCATTTTGGTGAATCACCGGCTCAACAAAATCGGAGCCTGGAACCTTCACGCTATCTGGATTTGAGTTCATCGCCGTCGGCAAGCCCTTTTTTCGCACCTGATTTCTGCTCAATCGTCTTCACTGAAAGCCATTTGACCTACATATGTATCGTCTTCCAGATCAATTAGTCGTCATCTTATCTCAAATCAGTTAAGTTTTTCTTCACAAAGATTGATCACTGGCAGTTGAAAGCTGGCAACAATATCCACAGAGGTTCATTGAGGGCAACAAAGAAAGGTATGCCCATACTCCGTAATTTTTAATTTGAGTCCTTGAAACTATAGATCTGTTGTGCTTCTTGTGATCTAATGCCTACACTTGAGTTTATGTGAAATTCAATGCTGATCATGTTGAATTTTCGTCTGAATATGTAGAAATTCTGATGAGACTGATCCGTATAGTTTGAGGATTTGGAAGATTTAAGTTATAATTTGGCGATGGCTTGGTTTAGTGGGAAGGTCTCGTTGGGGAACTTCCCGGATTTAGCTGGAGCTGTTAACAAGTTCAGTGAGAGCGTCAAGAACATTGAGAAGAACTTTGACAGTGCTCTTGGTTTTGAAGACAAGGCTGGTGGTACTACTTCCACCGCTGAAGGTACCTCACTTGATACGTCTTACCTTAAATTTGAAATCAACCTTTCATTTCTTCTTTTAGTATTCCACTACACAAAAACGTCTACGATATTATACCATAAAACACATGGAATATAGCTATTTGGGGTCATTTGTTTGTGGAGTTGGACTGAACTAGTTGGACGGGATGCTTGTATGGCCAGGGGTTATTGCTCCATGCCTGATTATTTTGCCCGACCCTGTGTTTGTTGTTGCAAATGGCCCCATTTAACTCCTAACTATTCTTTGAAACAACTAGATCCCCCTTTGTTGTTGATACGATCTTAAGTTACACTCTTCGAGTGAGTGCCAACTCCAGAATTAACAGGAAGGAGAAGAGTAGAGATAGAAGACAAGGAATTTCCAGCATAAAAGACATCACTTACATTCCCTTTTTCCTCCCTTTTACATGGTTACGACAACTAAGGGAAAGCTATAAGTTGGTTTCCAGACATGGTTACTTTCCTACAATTAAGATTAACCACTCAACATGTATAACTACCACAACTACTTAACCATATGCCACACCTGCTACTTTGACCATTTATTCTTAACTACATAGTTATGGTGCCACTTAGGGGCCACCCGACTTCGGCTGGAACGACAGACTGGTTGCGCCTGTGGCTCGCTTGAACTGTGAGCTGCCACTGCACTTGTAAATTCTTGAGCTGCCGTATCAGTTGTACCAAACTTCAACAAAAGTGAATACACAACTTCGTATTAGTGTCAAATCAAAGCATCATTCAAAACCTGGAACACTTAAAATGAAACAAAAAGTTCAATCTAAATGGTACCATTCGATGTCCAACATGGTGAGTTACTGGCATCAAATCAACAAAAGAAGTACCGGCATCCAAAACCAAATTTTGAGGTATTTATAGTAAGTGTTCCCTTGTTTCATGGATGCTGCAACATTTGACAAGGAAATTCTAGTATTAGTCAAATTTATTAAATACCCCAGAGTAATAAGAGAATTTTGTGGACCCAAGTCAATATGATTATGTATTTGTAAATGTGAGTATGTGACTATGGGTAAATATACAATTCTAATTTAAAAAGTTTCCAAACAAGGGAACTTGGCAATTTTCATGGGAAATCTGATAAAAAGGTAATTACAAGTTCATTGTGGGGCAAGGGTGGAGGGAGTATAAAACACTAACATCCTAAACGAAAATAAGAAGCAAAAATGGTAAGTATAAAATGCCAACATCTAAATGACAAGAAAACAATAATATCTTATTTTGAAGCAAAAGCATCATCCATTTTGCAAGATGTTCTTTTTGGTCAAGGGTAAGGAAAAATTCTAGCATCGTGCTTCTTTTGACGTAAGTGAGCAACACGCCTTTTCTTGATTTCCGGTAGGAATCTTGAGTGATTCAATATTTATGGTCTGGTTAGGGACAGCAACATCCATCTCATGGCAAGCTTCCCACACAATTAAAAAGGCAACAAATTTCCAAGGAACAGAAGAAATAAAAATTAACAGAACATTAGTAACATCTTTGTTCAACACATAGTTAGGGAGTTTTTCACATAGTGTCCGCTTATAAAACAAATATGTTCCCATGTTATAATGACATCCAACCTGTCATCTTCCTCATATGCTATCTTAGGCACTCCATTTTTCTCAGGGATCTGTACACATCTGTGTCAATCATGTTTTTTTTTGAAGTATATAATATTTATATACGGCAAATAGAACAAATAAACTCACACACCCTCCTCACCTTTGGTGAGGTTTGAACCCTTGACCTCCTAGAAGGCCAAGGACTCATATCGCTAGGCCAAAGGCCCTTTGGTTATCAAGTTATGAGTTAGACAACATGCAAGTTCTTAGAACTTTGAATATGATGGGATAAACAGGACGCATAATGACTCATTGCTTGTGTGATGGTCACATTTGTTCATTGACTATTGTTCTTTTCTTTGTGGTGGGTCAATTGTAAAGACTATGACTTTTGTTTAGTAACTTGGTAGTTCTGCTGTGGCTTTTGGCATTGAAGTACACTACTAGCTAAAGGTTTTTTTATTTCGTTGTATCACTTTCAAACAGATGTATTATGATTTACTTTCATTCTTTTGTTTTGGCAAATGGCATGGGTTGTGCCAGTGTCAGACTCATGTTCGGGTTTGCACCATGACTGCTATGGTGATACACAAAGATTTTTGGATGTTAAGTAGTGGTTATTTTTGGAGTAGGGAACTTCAAAAAACAAAAAGTATTTGTCTACATATTTGTTCTGATGCTTTATTGTTATGATGTTGGAAAGTCGATCATTTTGAAAGAGGTGAGGCTGATGGTTTTTCTCTCTCTTATTGTGCTGCTATTAAGTGTATCTATTATTTGCAACCAGCTTCAGGGTCATGGCCTGCCGATTTGATGGCCTTTATGGGACAGAAAGGTGAGGATGGCACTGTTGAGTCCATGGAAAAACTTGAATCTTCAAGTCCTCAACATACATCCTTTTCCAAGGAAAAGGAAGGAGATCAGGCTGATAATCCAGCCAACGCTACTGATGAACATTACCAGTCTGTTAGAGAAGAAAAGGCAGAAACTTTAAAGCCTGAAGAGCATAAGGATCACCCTGCGGAAACAAACATCGATGTTTTGGAGGAGGCTAATAGTGAAAAACCTGCCAAAAAAAATATTGAAGTCTTGGAGGAGGCTAATTGCAAAAAACCTACGGAATCAAGTATTGCACTTTCTGAGGATGCAGATATTGCTGACAAACCCCTGGAAATAAATGTTGCAATTTCTGAGTATGCAGAGAATGTTGCTGAAAAATCTGCAGCAACAAATATTGCAGTATCTGATGAGACAACTACTACTGCTGCTGACCACAGTGAAGCTGAAGTGGATTCACGAGCAGAATTAAGTGCAGATCATGCTGAACAATCAGAGTTTGTGGTCCGTGTTCTCAGTAGGGATAGTTCCGAAGTTGGCTCTTCAAAAAAGTCTGAATCAATACAAGATGAGTCAACAAATCTCTCAGACCAAGTTGTAGTTACCTCTGAGCTAAATGAAGTGCACCCTGCTCCTGATTTACCAAAGGATGAGGATGGACTGAAGATACAGTTAGAAGAGGCTTCACAGGAAGTTTCTGCAGTTGAAGTGGTGAAACCTTCATATGATGGCCAAGATGGGATTGTGACTGAGCTAAATGAAGTTCAATCTGTCATCCATGAGACGACTAAAGTTGCTGAAGAAGGCCAACTGCATTCATTACAAAGTTCAGATGATGTCTCTTCAGTGGTTCCTGAAGTAGTTCCAAAGGAAAACAATGCAAATGATGAGATTCATATACCAAGCGAGCTAACTAGTGACAATCAAAGTGACATAAAGGAAAAACACTTGAGTTCAGAAAGCAATTCATCTGACAATGCAGATTGTATGGTTGAACTTGAGAAGGTGAAGAGGGAGATGAAAATGATGGAGACTGCACTTCTAGGGGCTGCTCGACAATCTCAGGTATTGAAAAGTTAAACTGTTGGTTTATGAAAACTTTTATGGTCATCCACTCATTTACTATGTCATCCTTGAAGAATGTAATCGCAACCAAGGGATGGAATATGTTAAATATTAATTGAAAATTTGGTAAGTCTGTATAGTATAACACCATGAACAAGTTACTGAGAGCAAATGAAATGATAGTTAGGGAACCTTCTGCTTTCAGTAACCCAGATGCCAGTTTATGCATATTTCAAATGAGAAATGGAGCATACTGGAACTTTCTTAGTTTATATGATATTTTAGTAAATGAAAACATATGCCATTTATTGTTTGCTGTGAACTTTAAACTGGTATCACTAAAAAATTGCCCTGGTTCTTTTCCCAATTAAAGTTATTGCCAAAGATGAGACGGATTGCTTGAGATGCAAAGAGTGATGTTTCAGATGTCTACTCAAATATGATTGAAACTATTTACTGTTATGACTATTTCTTTTTTCCTTTTGCCTAGGGTTATCATATTAAGTCTATATATGATAAAATAGGGGTAAGCCATCAGCTCCAGCAACAATCTTTCTTGTAGTTATCTGTTGTATAGTTTCCACTCCTTGATGTGAATAACAGTTAAAACAAATATCCAACACATTTTACTGTGTGTTCTTCACAGGATAAACATGGCTTTATCATCATTCTTTTACCACTATGTGTGAGCATAATTAAGTACCACTTTTACTCTTTTCCCTGCTGGCCCCAGAGACATCACAAGCTCCAAATATTGTATTTGATCAAAAGATAGAACCATGCGGTTAACTTTTTGTTTTGTCCATGCTTGTAAGTTATATGTCTAACAGATAAACCACGTCTATGGGATTTTGCGTGGACCATCAGGCACTCTGTTATACTAGCAGGCTAGATGAAGATAGTTTCATCTTTGAGCCTGTCAGTGGTTGCTGATAAGTTATTTAAATTTAATTTAATTCAACTTAGAGAAGTAAATTTTGTATTCATCATTGTCATATTTTAATATCATTTAGAAACGACTTAATTATATTAGGTTTTTTAAAATTTATTTTCTTATCGGGTGAAATGTTGATATTTGCTTCTATAATCTTGGAGAATACATTTTCTTTGCAACAGTTTATTATTGAAGTTAAACATTTTTATTAGTATTGTTATCTGTTAACAGGCAAAAGCTGATGAAATTGCAAAGCTGATGACCGAGAATGAGCATCTGAAGTCTATAATTGAGGATCAGAGGGTAGGTTCAAGTTTACCTTATTCTTTTTATGCTTTGCATATTGTTTCTTCCTTTCTTTATAAAGTTTTACTATTATCATAAAATAAGAAATTAACACAAGTTTCTCTAGAAGAGGTGCTAACGGAATTAACATTTTCTAGTTATGTACTTATGCCCCCTCCATAGTCTGTGTTGTTGCCACATAAAATATAGTTGGCCATCCAGTCTTGGTACCTATTTTAACACCATAAAGGGGCCGTGGAAAGACGCTTAAATAGTTGTTAAGAGTGTGCAAAGCTTGTACTCTAGTCAAACTATCATGTCAACTTCACTGCAGTTGCCGCCTGAACTTTAACCAACCGAGCTTCTCTTTTCTTCCTTCTAATCTCTCTCTTTCACATTAATAAACAGAGAAAATCAAATGAAGCGGATATTGAGTCTCTACGAGAAGAGTATCATCAAAGGGTCTCAACTCTTGAAAGAAAGGTAAACAGTTTGTATATTTGAAACTTTGTTTAATATCAAGGATTTTCGTTCATAGGAGCCTGGTTAAGAAAGGTCTTTAACGCTGGTAAAAAATATTTGTATTGAAATCAATCATCAAAATGTCTCAACTCTTGAAGAAGAAGAAGCTAGATAGTTAATATTCTTTAAATTGTTGTTGAGCTTAATGATTTCTTCTTTGAACCACGTAGCAAGAATTAATGGGGTGCATATAACTCCAATTATCGGAAGCATAGAATTAATGCTGCTGATATACTTATGTTGGTTGCTACATTTTAACTCTTAGCTTCACTACAGGTTTATGCTCTCACAAAGGAAAGAGATACACTACGTAGAGAGCAAAATAAGAAAAGTGATGCTGCTGCTCTTCTGAAAGAAAAAGATGAAATAATCACTCAAGTTATGGCAGAAGGTAATAAATTCATTTAAATCTTTAACAGGAGGTCTACTTCCATGATTCTATTTGCATCTATGTTTCCACATTGCATTGAAGGTTGTCTAAAAGTATATTTGTATGAATTACGAGTGTCATTGATTGATTGGTACAGGGTTGTGAGATTTCAGATGTTCTCTTAACAACTTTAAATGTGAATCTGGTTTCGACTGTTTTACAAAATATTTGCAGCCTATGCTACCGCAGATATGGTTCCAACCTTTTTGTGTAAAGAGTACATTTTCTATGATAAAAATGACGTTCCTATTCATTTTCATTCATTTAGGTGAAGCGCTTTCAAAGAAACAAGCTGCTCAAGAATCTCAAATTAGGAAATTGCGGGCACAGGTATGCAATAAAGATATTACTGTTTTTCCATTTGGCTGAAGTTGTTCCTCTCAACATATTCTAATATGTAAGAGTTATTTTGTGTGAAAGCTAGATTAGGGAGTTTGAAGAAGAGAAGAAAGGATTGATCGCCAAACTGCAGGTATTCTACTTCTCCAGCTTAATGGTTAAGATAAAGATAGGAGCCGTTTACCAAACACTTATCGAGTAAGCACTTACCGCAAAAGTCACCACTTTCATTTACCTTAAGGGATAACATTCTCGGTCATCAAAATGGATTGATAGTAAGCATTTATAACCCGGTAAGCATTTACCGGGTAAGACTCTTGATTCTTGCCTCCACTCTTACCGGGTAAGATTCTTGGTCCTTGTTATGTTCACCCGGTAAGGTAATTGCACTCGTAAATGCATACAAGGTAAGTGTTTAGTAAACGGCCCCTTAGTTTCCTCAAGTGTCTGTAGTCTGTATAAAGGGGTGAGAACACAACTACACTGAACATGTCTCGGTGGTTTTAGACCCTCAGGGTCACCTTTCCTCCATTTCATCAGTCCTTTTTGTTTTCCACTTTTTCAATGCTTTATGATTTAAAAAAATTATGTCTAGGGAACTCCTGCAATTTTTAAAGCATTTATGCACGCTACTAGCTTATATATATATGCAAAAAAGATACGAAAGTTAGACTGTTTACCTATTGTTGTTAATGTTACTTATCCTTTTCAATTACCTTCCAGGTTGAAGAGAACAAAGTAGAGAGTATAAAGAAGGATAAGGCAGCCACAGAGAAACTTCTGCAAGAAACAATAGAGAAAAACCAGGCTGAACTTGCTACACAAAAAGAATATTATACAAATGCATTGAGTGCAGCCAAGGAAGCTGAAGCATTAGCAGAGGCGCAAGCTAACAGTGAAGCCAGAACCGAGCTACAGAGTCACCTAAGAGAGGCCGAGGAACGTGAAGTCATGTTAGTTCAAACTCTAGAAGAGTTGAGACGAACTCTGAGCAGAACGGAGCAGCAGGTTTCCATCTGGAACATTTAAATTGCAAGTACTACTTGGTATATACGCCATAGGGTCAGGTTCATGAGAAAACCACAAAAAATGAAAAACCGAGGAACACTCTAGTAACCATTCATCTGTATGGTATTCACATGTGCATACATGATTTATAAGTAATTTTTCCAGTATGCATGTGTGCATAACATGCACACGTGCATAGAACCAGGAAACATCTTCAAATTACTTGTATACACATGTGCATATCGAACAAAGGAACGGTTATTAAGGTGTTCCTCGGCATTTCATTTTTTAGGGGTTTTCCCCTGAATCTCACTCATACCTCATAATAACTGAATTTCATTTTTGCAGGCAGTTTTTAGAGAAGAGATGCTTATGAGAGACGTTGAGGACCTTCAAAAAAGATACCAAGTACATTCAGCTTCCATAATATTTTTATCAAGTTAATCTTATGTTTATCTATATTAATCACTCACGAGTCAGACGAAGGATTGTGAGAATAGGAGTTAAATGAGAAGTATAAGAAGGGATCTGGACCCTTGATCACCTTTATCTCACCCCACCCCATGAATTGCGCTTATCATGGGAATTGATCAGGTGCATCTAGGTGCACCGCATTAGTGTTGATCTTCAATTAGGATTGATCCAAGAGTGGAGATCCCTTCTTACTCTTCTCACCATAACTTCCATTTCACCAGAACCCAACCTTCACCAGTCATCCATGAAGCCATTTCTTTCGACTTACTAAACTAAATGTATTATTTGTCTAGGCAAGTGAGCGTAGATGCGAAGAGTTGGTCATGCAAGTTCCTGATTCTACTAGACCTCTTTTAAGGCAGATAGAAGCTATGCAGGTTTGCTTTCATTTTAAACTTCCTTTTCTGATTTTTGCTGGTTATTTTGCTGAAACCACGTTATGTAATAGGAAAATACAGCTAGAAGAGCAGAAGCTTGGACTGCTGTTGAGAGATCACTAAACTCGCGGCTTCAGGTCCCACCAAATAAGTTATTGAATCATTTTTCTTCATTTCATCGGCATCTCTAATATTTTTGAATTTGAAGGAAGCGGAGGCCAAATCTGCAGCTGCAGAGGAAAGAGAGAACTCTGTAAATGAACGCCTATCCCAAACATTATCTCGGATAAATGTTCTTGAAGTTCAGGTGCTTCTACTCATTGATTGGTTGCTTTTTGCTTCAACTTTATAGCAATCATTTGCTTACCATTAAAATTTATTGCAGATATCATGTTTAAGAGCTGAGCAAACACAATTAACTAGGTCACTTGAGAAGGAAAGACAGAAAGCAGCAGAAAATCGGCAGGAGTACCTAGCATTAAAAGAGGAGGCTGATACTCATGAAGATCATGTGAAACGACTTGAAGAAGAGATGAGGGAACTCAATAGAAAACACAAGCAAGAGCTACACGAAGCATTGACCCACCAGGAACTTCTCCAGCAGGTAGCACTTGTCGTTCCTTTATTTTTAGTAAGATTTAGGGGCTGTTTGGTTGGTTGTCTGTTGAGTCCTGTATGGATAAAGTTGTCCGTGCGGATTAATCTGTTTGTATAGACTGGGAAGGTTTTTGTTTGAGAGAGTTTCTTCATCGATGGAATGAGCATGTTCGGAAAAAACTTGGTTTTCTGCATAAAGCTCTCCCCTAGAAGCTTAATGAATAAGCCACTTTCTATATCATTAAGCCACTACCAAACAATCATGCATCACTAACCGAATAAGTTGCGAGTTCCATTAAACTCGTTAAGCTGCTAACAAACAAACCCTTACAGGTAGATACGTATATATTGTGTGAAGAAATTGTTGAGCATAGTGTAGTAGGGCCATGCAAACATGGTTTTTCTGTATCATTTGGAAATGTTTGAACCCTTGACCTCATGGGAGGCTGGGCTTTACTGGTAACCTGGGTACCGCTGGGCCAATGACCCTTTGGTAGATTTTGTTGTTTTTGTGGTTATGACCTTCTGCTACTAAACAATCTTTAACATTTTTGCTTTGTCAATTGCAATGTATCACTTCTATGTTTATAATTATCCTAGCATAAATATACCAATATGTGTTGTATCCCATTAGAAGTGTTACGACTTGTACATTTTGATGACACATCTTAGGATTATTTTAATGCTTTCTATTATAGTCTTAGGGGCCATTTACCTGATCGCTTACCTAGTAAGCGCTTACCGGTAAGAGTCAACACTTAAACTTACTTTATCGGGTAAGATTGTAGTCCATCAAAATGGTACTGTATGCAACAATTTACCCAGTAAGCGCTTTCCAGGTAGGAGTCGTCACCCTCACTTACCGGATAAGACTCTCCATCCTTATGACCTTATTATCGCTCTTACCGGGTAAGCTTCTTGGCCCTTCCATGTTCATATGGTAAGGTAAATGGCCCGGTAAGCGCTTACCGGGTAAACCTTTAGTAAACGGTCCCTTAACCTCTCTTCTTGTTATTTCCATTCCCCGCGTATTCTGAAAAGGCTATTAAATTTGAAACTTGTCCTTATTGTTTTATGCTGTGCCTTTGTTCTCTCTGTTTCTATAATATTATATATTTGCAAAACTCTATGATGTATGTCACCTCCTTCTAAGTCATTTGTCTGCTATTATGTGAGAGGTAAACATCTTACTGCCCTTGCCACCAGAAAGTTGCATCAGTGGATGCTTTAAGGACTATTTGTTCCTACGTTTTATTATATATTTGTTACTACTAATCTCTCTGTTTATGGAAATACTTCGAGTTATACTAAGTATGTTCCTGATTATAACAGGATATAGAACGCGAGAAGGCCGCACGTTTAGAACTGGAAACCACAACTCGTCTTCAGTCTTCTATTGTTCCTGAACAAAGTCCCATAACCAGAACTAAGTCTTCCTATGAAAATGGTAAAGAAGATATATTTATTCTCTTTAGGGAAAGTTCTAATGAGAACATAAATACATTTGAGAACCTGGGAATCAACTATTTATTATTCATGATGAATAACCCTAAATAATCATGAGTACTTTCATCATGAATATTTTGTAGTTCATGATATCATGCTATTCATCATGAATATTTCATAGTTCAGGTATCATGCATTTCACCAGGTTTCATCATGAGTATCTATCACGACATTCATCATGAATAGTTGATCCCAGGTTCTGAAAAGATTTACTGTTCTCATTTGAACCTGCCCTTTATTCTCTATTTATGATCCATTTTTCTCTTATTTTGTTTCTAACGTGTGGACCTAATGTGCAGGCTTGACTCGCAGAGTTTCAGGTACTAGCAGTTTAGGTAGTATGGAGGAAAGTTTTTATCTGCAGGCATCTTTGGACTCGTCTGATACTTTCTCTGAAAGGAGAAATCCTGGAGAACCTACCATGAACTCATATTATTTAAAGAGTATGACTCCAAATGCTTTCGAAGCTGCCCTACGTCAAAAGGAGGGTGAACTTGCATCTTATATGTCTAGATTGGTACGAGTAGATTCTGAATCATTGATGAAACTGATATATATAGGGTCATGTTCAAACGAGAAGGTGTTCAATTTGCGAGAAGGCGGGAAGTTCCACGATCATATATGATTGCACGTGATATACACACTTAATCATATATGATCAAACACATGTTGCGATGACCGGCATATGACGGGCGACCTTCCCAAAAGGCTGCGTTCACCAAGTCGCATGCGTCCCTTTTGGATGTATAATGTGTTTAATCATATATGATTAAACGTTCGTACGTGTAATCATATATGATCTTGGAACTTCTCGTCATCTTGCAAATTGATCAACTTCTCTGTTGATCCTCCTTTTATATATATAGAGAGAGAGGGAGGAAGGTTCAGGGGAAAACCCCCCAAAAAATAAAAAACTGAGGAGCATCCTGACAACCATTCATTTGGATATGGTTCTTGTATTTGTCCTTCTATAGCATCTGCTCCGTCAATCAATTACACACTTTAACACTCACCCTTGTCCAATTTTTGATTTTATTGAGTGGTTTATGGTGCATTGTGAACTTTAGGCATCCATGGAATCCATTCGCGACTCTCTTGCCGAGGAGTTGGTTAAAATGACTGAGGAGGTAGGCTTTACTTTTTCCCCGTTTCTTATCATCTTCTTTAGCTGCCATCCTCTTCCGCTCGCCGAGCAGAAAATATTCGATGATGTCTGTTTCTAATTACCTTCGATCTGCTGCGCTATTTTTGGTGCAGTGTGAAAAATTGCGGTCGGAAGTGTCTCTGCTGCCTGGCTTGAAAGCAGACCTAGAAGCACTAAGACGCAGGCACTCTGCGGCACTGGAGTTGATGGGGGAACGAGATGAGGAGGTACACCTTCACTTCTAATTAGGGCTCTAGCGTGTAGCTCAATTGGCAAAGGGTGGGGCGAATTTGCCGATATACATAATAGGTCATGGGTTCAAACCCCCCTCCCTTGCTAGCCTCAAACGCTGAGTGAGCAAAAAATTGTCCCCTAACATTGGTGTCCTTGGAGGTGGGTTCCTAGGACGGTTGGGGTTGCCGGTAATTATCTTTTTACCCCAAAAAATTATTTTTGATTAGGCTCCAACTTTTCTTAGACTTGTATTTTCCTACCAAATGCGATTGCGCTTTGTGGTAGAGGTCATGTTTGCCCACATTCCCCCTCCCTCCTAGGACCTGCTTTCGGGTGGGATATAAAGAGTTCGTTTGGTTTAACAAAACTTGTGACACTTGCATGCCCAAGAAATAAAAATGATGGGATATCAACGTGTTTGGTATGCGGGACGGGACAGGAGAGACGGACCTAGAGATTTTATCAAGTTGTTGGCACCATTTGACTATAAGAAACAAATATATGGATATCTTTTACAAAACCATCATTGGTCTTTTGGTTAGTTTATTGCTTTTCATATGTGAGGTCCAGAAAATGATACTAACGTGATTCGAACTTGGGTCTGGCCTCTGGCATAGAAGAAAAGCCTCTCAAACCAACTCTACCAAAGGGAAACTTGTGTCTTTATTGTAGTTTCTAAATATATATGATGGTACACAACAAATTGATACGGTGACACTTTTCACGACCCTATAACTTTTTACACTATAGCGGATGAATGAAGCAGTGAAACGTGCCACCGTATCCAATACCGCCAGTACAAAAACTTGTTATCCCATTTTTAGTGCGGAATTAGACTAGGATTGGACTCGACACTAAAATACATGGAACAAAATTAAGGAACATGAGACAAGATTGGTAAATTACTAAACTACCCATATCAGATTATTCCCCTAAAACCTTCCACAATTCTTTCATCTGCATCTAGTCCCGTCCGCATACCCTTCAAGAACATACTATAACTTGTAATTTTGCTTGCTTGTAGCTTGAAGAGCTTCGTGCTGATATTGTGGACTTAAAGGAGATGTACAGAGAACAAGTAAACATGCTTGTAAATAAGGTAAATATATTCTTCAAAAAAGAGCCAATAATATTAAAGATAGAAATCTGTAGACGAGATGATTTTTTTTCCTAATATTCAAAAAATGTTCCAATTCTTTCTATTTCGTACCCATTTTGACCTGTAACCGTTACCATCTAGTAGTTATTGATGACGTGGATGCCAAGTTGTCTACTCATGGGCCGTTTACTGAACACTTACCCGCAGTTTATCACTCGGTAAGCATTTTGTAAACGGCCCCTTATATTGTAATCTTTGGTTACGTGGAAAAATTCAATGCCAAAAATCAACAGATGTCACGTAGGCTGAAAGCCCGTTTATCAAGTCAAATGGGTATGAAGTAGGAACAATTTAATGTTTGTTAACCTCGTCAAGAAAATGATTTCATCTTTACAGTAAATAGAAACTAAGATAAATTTCGTTACATTTTGCCCAAAATGAATATCCTCGAAAACATATACAAGTTTAGAGGGAGGTTCAGGGAAAAACTACCAAAAAAATAAAAAAATTGAGGAACACTCTGGTAACCAATTCATCTTTATGGTATGCACATGTGTATACAAGTAAAGACGTTCCTCAAATTTTCATTTTTTTTTTTATAGATTTTTCCCCGAACTTTACCTACAATTTTATTAGATTTATGTTGCTAAATATTTGTATCTGCAGATCCAGGTGTTAAGTTCATCATCGATTAGTGCTTCTGCTTAAGGAGGTCATGCTTCGGGGGGTAAATGTGGAAATACATTTTATGACCTTTTTTTAATTATTTAATTATTTTTATTTCCATCTTGCATTTCTATATTTCATACTTGTATATGTATAAAATACTTTAATGATTTTGGTTTTCATTTGTTTTGTAACCTTTCTTTGTAAAATTGATATGAATCCAAGAACTACGTTTTGTTTTTTGTTTTTTTATTGGCAGGTTGCATGGAAAAAGTAACGTACTTTAACTTGATTTTTATTTTAGGTAATTTTAGAATTTCTATTTTGATACCTAAGATGTAAAGTTTTAAATATTTAAGTACTTCGGGTAACTGGTTGAAGACTAATTTTAGATTAAAAAAAATTCAATGTCACTAATTACGTCAGCAAATAATACTAAGTTGGATATCATATCATTCGCTACATCAGCATAATAATCAGTTACCCGGATGCTTAAATGTTTAAAACTTTACATCTTAGGTACCAATATAATTTTTTTGTATTATCTTGCAATAATTTTTCGTGTTCCAAATTTTCAATTGAAAAACAATTGTATATGATTACTGGGTCTTTTTTTATTAACCTGGATATCCAACCCGCTATGCGAGCCGACTAATCCTAAGGCAACCATCTGCTTTGCAGATAGTCCGGAGTCATCGCATTTGAACCTCCGTGGCCACAAGGGGATTTTTATTTCTCATTGTATTTGAACCTGAGACCTCCAGGTACTTTTGACCTTTTGAGTCACGCTCAAACCAATCGGGCACCACCCTTGTGGTTGATTATCGGGTCATTTACCAAACACTTGTTGGGTAAGTGCATACCGGGTCAATTACGTTAACTGTGCCGTTTTGCAAACAGTTGCATATGACTTCTGGTATCGCAACTTTATGACAAGGATGTATTTGTCCTCTGTTTGAAAAGTCAAATAATATCTTTATGAATACGCTCGACTAGTACAAAATTTGAAGGACCAAAAACATACAAGGATTTTTTGTCATAAGTCATCCCTTGAAAAACGTCGTGATCTCGCTGTGGCATCCAAGTTGAAGCTCTGTCTCGCTGCCACACCATACCTCACGCTATTTTGAACTTGAATGAAAGAGAAATAACAAAAAAAACCATGCAAACGAAATAAACATACCCTCGGACTTAACGGAGATGGTGGTAGATGATTGTTAGGACAAAGAACCAAATCCGTTAAAATTGCATACCTTAAGGTTTTTTACGTAATAAATGAAGTCTAAAGACTAATTCCGTAAAAATTCAAATACTACAAGGACCAAACCGGTAACTTACTTTCGGGTATAATAATTCTTTACAACAAGGAATATAACCGCCCAAATATATCCGACATCAGAATTCATGGCTCCAGCAGTTTCAAATCGAATATCGTTTCCCTTGTAAATTTGTAGTTCACGTGTTTGATGCAGTCTCCTCTGCTTCTAGTTCAAATGCTGTAGCGGTTTCCAATCCAGTCTCGTTTGCTGTAGGAATTTCAAGTTCAAATCCGTTCTAATGTCTATCTGTTGAAGGAAACAACAAACTAAGATTGGACGTTAATCTGTGAGCTCTACATTTCAAACACAACCACTTTGCGATTGTTCTAGCTCTAATACGAATAATTTAGGGTTTCTTCACTACAATTTCGAGTTACACCAATTTATTGTTTATCGATTTCTAAATATTCCCCCAAAATTCAAAAATCTGAAAGGTTAGATCAAAATATTTCAAGGGTTTTGGATTGAGTTTGCGTCTTGAAGATACATTTAAAGGTTCGACCAAGATCTAACACATGAGGTGAGTTTTGCTTTCTTCATCTCGTTTATATTGCTTCTATATTTATAATATGACTATGATGAACTCGAGTTTATTTTGAATCGCTTTTGTTTACGTGCATAAGCGGTTAATTATGTAATGAAGCTTTTCCCTTTGGAGTTCCAGTTTGTTGGATGATCCATTTACCTATATCGTGTTTGTGAGCTTGAGCCTTGATTCTGTATAATTATATAAATTTGATTTTGAACCACGGATTTATTAGCATAACTGGTTGATTATGTAATGAATCCTGTTCCAATTTTGTTGAATGATCCATTTACCTATATCATCTTTGTGAACTTGAGCCTTGGTTTTGTAGGATTGTGTCAATTTGATTTCGAATCACTTTTTTATGTGTATAAATTGTTGATTATGTAATGAAGCTTTCGCCAATAGAGTTCCAATTTGTTGAATGATCCATTTACACATATTGTGTTGCCTTCCTGTTAATGTTTTGTTTCTTACAACTGTTTAGACCATTATGAGGCATTTACTCTTTACTTTATTTCTTTTAATCTTCCTTAGTTTTGGTAAGTGTTAGTACCCAAGTGAAAAATGGTGTATTTGCTTTGCGGGTCCACAAGATGGCGTGATTTTATGTACGTGTGGCATTTCAACCCATTTACGACGGCTTAAAAATGATACTTTTGACTATGTCATTTGGTAAAGCCGAATGCCCTAGTTGAGTTAGTGCTTTAGCCTTACAATTAGTCCTAAGGGGCGTGTTTGGTATGCGGGACAGGAGGGATAGGACGGGACAAAAATTGCTGTCCCACATTTGGCATGACATTATACTGGGACAGGACAGGACCTGAGTGGGTCAAAATTGCATTTTTTTTTGTCCCGGGAGATGGGGCAAAATTGGTAAATTACTAAACTACCCATGCCAAATTAAAACCCTAATTCATTTTGTGATTTTTTCATCCACTACCTCTCTTTCGCCCATCCAGTCCCGTATATGTACACCTTAGGTGAACTAGGTCTTTCGTGCAAACTCAAAACTCTTTCTTTATCAAGTAGCCCACGTCGCGAGAACCCTTTTTCTCAATAGAACCAATAGTATCTATGCATGCTCTCTCTCCTCAAACTTCAACCGATTATATTAATGATTTGAAGCTATCTAAACCTTGAGATCTTCACATTTGAGAAAAGGCAGGTTCAGATCTCTCCACTTTGTTATCGGTCTTGCGATCTAGGGTTTAATTAGGGCAACGATGGCCCGATGCGGTGTGTGTATGTGTGTTCATTGTTTTAACTTCATAATTTTACTTGATCTTTACACTCATTTTTTATCAATCGATAAATTTGATCAAGAATGGAAGGTTGATCAAAAACGTTGTTTGTTTAGAGGGTTGTGAGTGCAAGAATCAAGCTCTTCTCAAGTTTTATACAATTATTTGTTCCATTTTTGTGTTGAGCGATACGATGATATCAAGTTTCTATAAGTTAGTGTGATTGTATAATTTATTAACGTTTTCACAATCACCCAATGCACATAATTTTATTCATATATGGTACCAATCTCTTCTTTGCCCAAATTGTGTTCTAGGGTTTTCAAGTTTCTAGTGGTTGAGGCAAATCTCCTTCAACTTATATTCTTGATATGGAGATGGATCTCGAAGCAAACAGGGAAAGAATTGGATTTAAGAACTTTCCCATTCGGTATGTGTGGATTTGAAATTAGCGTTTTTTAGCATGTCTTATTTACATATGTTTTACAATAAACATGAAGATTTTGTCTCTAAAATGCACATGTGAATAGTGACTACCTCACCTTGAGTTGGGGCTTGGATTTGTAGCCTGATTTGGAATGTAAAAAGTTATGAACTTTTTGATACAATTTTGTAAGAAAACTGTTAACACTAAGTTACTAACAATTTTCCAATCTTATCTTTTTGTTGTCTGGTTTTCTTCTTACAGACGAGTACATAAAATATACTTCCTCTATCCCAAAATAAATGTCCACAATGAAAAAGGTGCACAGTCTTAGAATGCATAATCATTACGCTTTTTAATTAACTAAATGATAATTTTACCCTTGATAACGGAGGGAGTAATGAATTTCTCCATCTCATAATTAAGGGTAGAATTGGAAATATAAACTTCTGAAAGTGGACACTTATTTTGGGACTAACGGAGTTGTGGAATTCTAGAAACAACCATGTAATTAGGCAAATTGTTGAACCAGATAATACCCATGTACAATTTTTTTTTCAAGCCGGGAATCTTCACGGAAACCATCTCTTTACCCCTTGGGGTAGAGGACACGCTGCATACATCTTATCCTCTAGTCTGCATGGGGTTCATTGGGTTTGTTTGGTTTAAGGGAAGGAAATAACAGTGGACCATAGAACGTAGATGATGCTCTTCTTTGGCACTTTTGTATGAGATAAATAAAAGCACGTGAATGAGTTGCAATTCTTCATATGAGCCAACAAAGCCCAAATTACGATTTCTAAGAGTCGCTAATCTAATTGAGTATGCAGTAAGTTTGTTTCTTCCATTCGCGAAAAAGATCCAGAAAAGTGTTGGCCCTTCGCATCATTATGTGCCTATAAGGATTTTGAATCAATATCCTTGGTTCATCTAAACATCTCTGAAGATGCTGAAGCTCCCAAATGTAAGTAACATAGCGAATTACTCTCTTCGTCCCAAAATAAATGTCCACAATGAAAAAGGCAAACAATTTTAGAAATCTGTAATTATTACACGTTTTTAATTATTTAAATGACAATTTTACCCCTAATAGTATAGGAAGTAATGAATTTCTTTATCTTATAATTAAGGGTAAAATTGAAAAGTAGACACTAACTTTGAAAGTTAAACACTTACTTTGGGACAAACTAAATTAGAAATGTGGACAGTTGTTTTGTGAAGGATGGAGTATATGGTGGTGTTTGATGCATTATTTTCAATGCTGATGCGGTCTTTCTGTTTTTTTTTGACAGTATCTGAAGGAGAAACTTCCAAGGGAAAAGAGGCTGGATCTGATACTCTTAGAGGTATATGAAGAGATGTTTGGATGTGTGGCTTGTCTGAATTCCTATTACAAAACGAACCAGACTATTTTGTTTTCGATCTACTATTGAACTAACTACATAATATCGAAGACAAATTGTTGAACCACACTAAGGGTCTGTTTGTTAATAGCTCCATGAGACTCACAACCTATTCGGTCAGCTATACATGATTGTTTGGTAGTGGCTTAATGATATAGGAGTGGCTTCTTCAGTAAGCCTTCAGAGGGAGCTTTATGCAGAAAGTTAGGGTTTTTCCCAATTAGAAACACACTTCTTCCATCTATGAAAAACCCTCTCAAACAAAAACCTTCTCAATTTATACAGGCAGATTAATCCACACATACAACTTTATCCATACAAGACTTAATGGAAAACCAACCAAACAACCCCTAAGGGGCCGTTTACTAAACGCTTACCCGGTAACCGCTTACCCGGTAACCGCTTACCATATGAACATGGCAAGGACCGAGAATCTTCCCTGTAAAAGTGATGGCAAGGACAGAGAGTCTTACCCGATAACTGAGGGTGATGACTCTTACCCGGTTAACGGTTACCGGGTAAATTGTTGCATACGATGTTGTTTTGATGGACTAGAATCTTACCCGGCAAGGTAAATGAAAGTTTAGGTAAACAGTTCCTAAATAATACTCCCTTAGTCCACCGTTTTAAAAACGCCAGAGGCGTGCCTCAGGGCGATTCAGCCAAAAACGTTTATGAGGCGCCGCCTCTAACAGATCAGATTGTACGCCTTGATGGGTGAAGCAGTGGGCCAGCCCAGAGGCGTGTGTCTCTTCTCATCTATAAAAAAACCTTCCCTTTTTAAAACTAAAAAAACCCGTAATATTATTATGGAAACCGATCGACGTCTTATTCCTAATGGAACCCAAACTCTTATTCTTCTGCCTATATCAATTCAACACCAAACCAGTTAATTGTTAAGTTTTTTTGACTTCTATTGCTTCTTCTCTCCAAGACTCCAATGAACAGTCAACCATTGTTTCTTTGCTCTTCTCTCCAATGATTTCTCTGTTCTTATGTATATTAGTATATACATGCTGTTTTTAGGTATAATCTGTTTATATATATATGTATATGTATATATATATATATATATATATATATATATATTCTGTTTTTATCTACATATCTGTTATATATATATTCTCTGTTTTTTATACAAATTCTGTATAATCTGTATATATATATATATATATATATATATATAAATTCTGTATAATCTGTTTTATATCTATATAGACTTGGGATCACATGAGACCAACCTGTTTTCATGAGACCCGTGAAACCACTTTTTTACACTTAAAACTTCCCAAAAAAAGGGTAAAATAATGGTCTCACGGGTCTCATGAAAACAGCCTGGTCTCACGTGAACCAATCCTATATACACACACACACACTCTGATTTATGTATATATTCTTGTGAGTAATCTGTTTTACGTACATAATCTGTTTTTTATACATAAATTTTTTACATCATCGGTTTTATACACACACACACATATATATGTGTGTGTGTAGATATTCTGAATCATGGGCTTTATAGTTTGTTTATTTGTACGAAATTGTGCTTTTTTGTTAAGTGTTACAGATTTATAATTTTGTTGTTTTCTTTTTTGGGGCTTACGCCTCAACCGCATCGAGGCTTACACCTTACGTACCTAAGAGGAAAACGCTCGACGCTCGTTTACATTCTTAAACCTTGCCTTAGTCCCAAAATAAGTGTCTACTTTCTAATTCTACCCTTAGTTATGAGATCGAGGAAGTCATTATTCCCTTCATTATTAAGGGTAACATTGTCATTTAGTTAATTAGAAAGTGTAATAATTACACATCTCTAAAACTCTGTGCGTTTTTCAGTGTGGACATTTATTTTGGGACAGAGGGAGTAATAAAAATCCTAGCAAAGATGGTGCATGTAGGAAAATCATCGAACTATATGATATTATCTTTGATTCACTGTTTCCTACTTATTGATGTGTGTATGCTTGATTAATGATTCTAACAATAGATCTATGCTATTTTATGCTAATAAACAGTATTATTCTTCTCTTTTTACAGGATTTGAACTTGAAATTCCTATAGCAAACGATACTGGATCGGATACCGCTACAGGTACGAATTCTAACTAAAAGATATTGATTATGAAGTCTGATTTTGGCTGTCAAATTCTTTGTTGCCTGAAGCAAAAGGAACTAAATTGTTTCGATTTCTTAAATTATATACTCCCTCCGTCCTAAAATATGTGTCCAAATTTCTATTTTAGTTAGTCCCAAAATAAGTGTTTGCCTTCAAAAGTAAGTGCATACTTTCCAATTATACCCTTCAATTACTCCCTCAGTCCCAAAATTAGTGTCCACATTTATGTTTTAATTCGTCCTAGAATAAGTGTCCACTTTCAAAAAAGTAAATATTTTCTTTCCCATTCTACCCTTAATTATAAGATGGAGAAAATTTCTCTCTATTATTAAGGTAAAATTGTCTCTGGTGAATTAGAAAGTGTAATATTATACATTTCTAAAATGTACCATTTTCATTGTGGACATTTATTTTGGGATGGAGGTAGTATGAGATAGAGAAGTTAATTAGGCACTTCATTGTTAAGGATAAAATTGTCACTTATTAATTTTAAAAGTATGGCAGTTACACATTTCTATATATGTGCCTTTAACATAGTCGATATTTATTTTGGGAGGGAGGGAGTTGTAAGAATTTTGTTAACTTTTGAATGTTGGTTAAACCATAAAATTTTGAAACGGTGTCGTTCATTTATCATTTGATACTGATAACGGTATTCCTTCTTCGTTTTTTTTATAGGATATGAGCTAGAAATATCTAAAGGAAAGGAGACTGCAATAGCAACTGCTAGAGGTGCAAATTCTAACGGATAGATGTTGGATATGGAGTTTGAATTTGGGCTGTTTGTTTTTCAAATTATACTCCCTCCGTCCCAAGAACAAGTGTCCACATTTTTATTTTAGTTTGCCCAAAAATAAGTCGTCCACTTCCAATTTCACCCTTGATTATGATAAGGAGAAATGCATTGCTTCATATATTATAAAGGGTAAAATTGTCATGTAGTTGATTAAGAAGTGTAATAATTACACATTTCTAAAGCGTATACATTTATTTTGGGACGGAGGGAGTAATATAAATTTTGACGACTGTGAATGTAGATAGATTCTTGAACTAGTGTTTCCTTGATTTATCTTTTCCCACCAACAATAGATCTTGATTGGTTGATCATATACGTCATTTGATGCTGATAGACATTATTTGTCTCCGGTCTTTTGACAGCGTTTGAACTGCAAATTTCCAAGCGAAAAATTAGCGGATTTGAAACAGTGGAAGGTATAAATTCTAGCGAATATATATTAGGGGTGGCACCAAACCAACCAACATGTTACATGTATACCAACCATAGTACCAATTTAATTGGTATCAATTACAATGGATTGGTAGTACCGTACCAGTATACAAAATTGGTTGGTACACGGTATTGGACTTTGCATGCCTTGATAGTACTATGGTATCCACATATTTAATCATTTATTAGTTTTTGTATTTTTTTAATGTATTGATTATCAAACATTTTATGTTTTACTTATTTTGTTTCAACATCTGAATATTCGTTGCACTAAAAAACCCTTAAACATCACATTGGTTACCTAAAAACAGTTCGAATAAAATGACAAATTTTTATACATGTAACTTGAAGTTGGTACAAAACCAGTACCGACTGAAAAAAGTTGGTACTAGGTACAGTTGGTTGGTACACGGTGAAGGATTTTGCGTATCAATTATAATTGGTTGGTTACATGGTATTGGGAAAAACTTGGTATTCTACCAAGTCCACCCCTATATGTATATGGGGTCTTTTTATTTTTGGTTCTTTACAGAGCTCCTAGTAATTTACCTTTTGGTGTCAACTTTTCAATTCCTTCCCATTGTTTTTGACAAACTTCATGGAGCTCTCTGCGCTCCACCAAAATCTTTTTGCAAACTTTTTTGCAAGTTGGGGGTCATCATAGAAACAACTGCTCTACTATTTTTGGGTACAGTTCAGGTTTACGTACATCTTACCTCCCATATTACTCTACGTTTTTTTGACAGGATTGGAACTAGAAATTTCTAAGGGAAATGATATTGGATTTGGAACCGCTACAGGTATGAATTCTGATGAATAGATGTTGGATATGGAGTCTGATTTGGGGTGTCATATTTTTTGTTTTTTGAGCTAAAAAGAACTAAATTGTTATGTTTTTTAAATCATATGTTAAGAATTTTGGCAATGACATCAAATGTGGGTAAATTCTTGAACTAGTGTGTCCTTGATTTATCATTTCCTGGCAACAATAGATCATGATACAAAAACAACCAGCTCTGCTCCTTGGGTAGATGGGTAGAAGACAGTTAGGGCCCGTTTGTTAGCAGCTTAATGAGCTTAATGAGTCTCACAGCTTATTCGGTAGCTATACATGACTATTTGGTTGTGGCTTAATGATATAGAAAGTGACTTATGAGGTAAGCTTTTAGGAGTGAGCTTTATTCAGAAAGCCAAGTTTTTTTTTCCGAACCTACCCCTCCTAATTATGGAACACTCTCCTTCCATCCATGAAAAACCCTTCCAGACAAAAACCTTCTCTATAGATAGATTGATCCACACACACAACTTTATCCATACAAAACTTAATAGAAAACCAGCCAAACAGCCTCTTATGCATACATCTTATCCCTCGGACTGCACTTCCATGTGGAATATATTGGGTTCGTTCAGAATTTATTCCTTGGGTAGAGGGTTATCGGACATGTCTACATACATCCTACCCCCTAGACCCTAGACCCTAGACCCATCTCTATGAGAGAGATACTGGTTCATTTGGTTTGATTTGGTAATAGATCTTGATACTGGACTAGAGAAATTGGCACTTAGGGTCCGTTTGGTACACGGGATGGAACATGACAGTACAGAACAAAAGCTTGTTATCCCTTGGCGTGTCATTAGGCTAAGACATGACAAGACCTAAGTGGGACAAATGCATATATCCTTGGTCCCATCAAAATAGGTGGAACAAAAATCAGTTAGATGGAACAAGATTGGTAAATTACTAAACCACCTATGTCAAGTTAAAACCCTAAAACGTTCTATAATTATTTCACCGGCCTACCTCACTCTCGTCAGTTTAGTCCCGTCCAGTTCCACAATCAGGTTACCTAAGCCATACGTTGGATAGAGAGTTGTTTTAGTTTTCTTACTTTTCATGCCTTATTTATGTCAATCTTAGGGCAATGTTTGTATGCTCCTTCCATCTATTAACCCCCCCCCCCCCCAAAAAAAAAAACAAAAGCCTTCCAAATCTATAAAGACAGATTAATACACACAACTTTATCCATACAGGACTTAATGAAAAATCAACTAAACAAGTTTCCCTTCCTCCTCTAGTAGTTCTTAGTAATACCCTTTGCAATTCCTGTTTGTTTTATTATGTCCCTCGTGTGTGTCCCCGCTTCGTTTTTATGTTGCATTTTTTCACACGCTCCTATATTACTATGCTACCACTTTCTTCACATGTCTTGTTTTTTTTTCCAATCCCGAGGTCTTTTGTCAGTTTGTCTGACATTTTGAGGGATCTCGGAGGCCATAAAATCTTACGCACATTTTGATGCAGGGAATACTGATAAAGTCAACAGTATATTCACCATCGATAGTGAAGACGACTCTAATGACGACACTTTGGGCTTGTTTTTGAAAAAACGAAAGGGTGTTGAAGTTACTCGTCGTGCATGGAACAAGAAGAAGCAGAAGAGACTCCAAGTCGAAAAGACAAGACCCAAAGCGGTTAAAAGACCGAACCTTGGACCCGAGGGCTCTCGGACCATGACCAAGAAAGCCAACTACGAAAAGCTAGCCGAGGCACCCGTAGCTGGTGCACTTGGCAGTGAACATGGAGGCATGCTGACTGGTCCCGAAGCTGGTGGGTCAAAGGGTCCTGGAACGTGTGCGGCTATGCCATGTGACGGTCACATCTTGATGATTACGGTGAACCGGAACCCTGGTGATTTTAGCGCACCGGATGCCGGAAACAGGTTCATGAGAGGAGGATATAGTGAGTAGCTTTGAAGCTTTTTATATGCATCATGCGATGAAAACTGTGACTCAAATCTGATGGTTTATTACAATCAAACTTGTGGACTTGGGTTTGAACATGTAGTTATTTGCATGAATGGCAAAGGTACCTTTGTACTCGTCAGCATCAGGGGCGTAAACGAGCCGAGTTGACTAGTGGCTCGAAGCTCGAGTTTCAATTTGCTTCAATTTTTTGCACTGGACAATGTCGTGTCGTGTCGTGTCAACATTTCAGTATTTATGGTGCTTGTTAGTCGACTTGATTACAGGCGTAATAATAAAACTTAAACCGAAAGTGTAAAAAAAAATCTTAAAAGACTAGAAATGCAAGTTTTGAAATAGTTTAGAGACTATTTTTGTAATACAAATTTTACCCCCCAGGGACTAAAATGATCAATTTACTTACTTGAGGGGAAATAAAGAATATAGTATAAACATAGACTGAAAGTGCTATTTCCATCGAGGAGAATTGGTATATTGAGTATAATTGATATACAAAATCTTATATCATGTATCAACCAGATGTATTTAGTATTAATTAAATTTGTACCAATTTTTTTCAGTTGGTATATATAGGAACCGTTTTTGTACCAATTTCAAGTTACAAATATAAAAACCTGCTATTATGTTCAAATTTTGAGTAACTATTTGAGTTTGCAGGTAACATATGTGATGTTTAAAGGTTATTAATCATAGAAAATACAACTTACATTCAAATGCTAAAAAAAATAGTCAAACTACAAAGTCTAATATTCGATGCATAAAAAATTCAAAAACTAATAATTAATTAAATAAATATGTATCATGATACACAAGTTCCAATAATATATACCAATTAAATTTGCATACATAATATTATCGTACATATGGACAACCTACATAGACAATAAGGTGACAAATAAACTTGATATAATAAATAAATTTAATTTAAAATTTTACACAATATTATAATGAATAATTTTTTAAAATACAATATCCTAATAAAAAATATTTTAAAAATACATCTCTGTCATGAGGAAAAAACTAAAAGTAGAATATAGTTGAGGTGCGTATTTTATCCTTTAATTAATTGATACAGCTACTGCAGATGTAGGTTGGTATATTCATAATTTTGGCGGATTTTATAGTTGGTCTTCCCTGTGGCTGTGAGTGCACGTCACCGCCAGGTCCACCACCGCAACCATCAAATCAAAAGTCTCAGGTTTCGGATCAAAGTTGCCGTGCCGCCGCCGCAGCCGCCTCATCCTCCTTTTGATACCGCCGTCTACTTTGGCTTCAATTCTCCACCGTTAGAGGAGAAGCCGCCGGAAGAAGTATAGAATGAACGGCGATAATTCAAAATTAGCCAGGAAATGGCTGGAAAACAGCTCAAAATTTCAATTGGACGGCCTCGCACTTCAAGGAATGCGGATTGATCGTGTTGAAAAAGGTCTTATCCGCTGCGATTTCGTCGTTCCAGATAATCTATTGGTGAGTTAAATTGTTCGATTGCGCCATTAATAACATACGTGATCTTATTACATGATCATATATTCATAATTAACCGTCTCAAGGTTAAAAATTAATTTACGTATTTGATCTGTTCAGGATGGAGAAGGAAACTGGAACGTCGGAGCGATATCGGTTTTGATCGACGACATGGCTGCTAGTGCAGTTTTTTCTTGTTGTGCAGGCATTCTGGCAACCATGGATTTCACTTTGTCCTTCTATTCCGCGGTTAAGGTCGATGTACGCCATTTCTTCACTTCTCACTTCGTCTGATCCCATTTACTAAATTTTTTATTCGTAATAGATTGCTAATCAATTCTCGTCCATTTGCACAAAGCATAGTTTCATCCAAAAGAAAACTGACATTTTAAATTCTAGTTTACATATTATAACTCTTATGTCAACCTTCGTGTTTTTCTTTTGTGCTCGATACTTCATACAACTTGTTTAGAATCAAATTGATTTAGATGTGGTCACGTGGAGTACACTAAATCATGTTTGATTTTTGGACCCAGAATCGGCTCTTCTTGCTTGATTGCAGAAGTCCAAATCTATTTGTCCTCTGGGAATTACTGCCTACTATTGTGGTTTGAAACTTTGGCTTGTTAGTAACAATTTTGCTTCGCAACCTCGTTTTTTCCCCGAAAAACATAGGAGGTGGTTGAGATAGAGGCAAATGTGGTCGGACAAAAGGGTAATCTAGTAGCAGTAGTAGTCAATATAAAAAAGAAAGGCAATGGAGAGAAGGTTGCTACTGGGAAACAATGGATGCATACCGCTCCTTTCAAAAGTTCACAAGCTGGAAAAAGCAAGCTCTGATTAATCTTTTCCAACGGTTTGTTTGCATCCCCATGTCAATTAAACATCTAATATGTATATTCTGTACCATGTAAGCATTGAAAATGAAGAATAATTTTTTTTAACTATTGTATGTTGTCACATGATAGATTATAAATTCTCACGAACCCACACTATTGTTGTAAACCAGTCTGAAAGCTGATTTTACTTCAATTTTTCCGCTATAAAGAATATTATCATAATTTGCTGGTTTTTAGTCCTGGTAATTGTATTTCTTCCTACAAATTTTTGCTCTCAAACTAGTAATCGTATTTCTAACATCAACTTCCTAGGTTTTGATTGATTAATGATAATGTTGCAACAGCTGGGAGAAGCTGTTCTGATAAAACATAGGACTACATGGTGTCCATCCTGCTGCTTGATTTGTAGACTGGCTTTAGCTCTGTGAATTCCTCATGTATTTCATCGAACTTGAAAAAAAAAGGTCAACTAAATTTCTTGGAAATACTGGGGCATAATCTTATGGTAATATAAACTTTAAATAGTACAAATACATCTATGTAGATCTTGTCTCAGATAATTGCTCAACTTCTGATTCCTTTTCTTCTGCGAAATTATCAATTTTCGCACCCTCTACAACCACTCTATCTGCACAAGAACCATAAGTGCAACTACACACGACATAATAAAAGAAATTTACAGAACTCATTATAGCAAGAAGCCAATAGTACTTATCATAGTGACCCTTGTTTATATTGCTAGAAATCCAACTCTCTTTTCCCTCCCCTTTGGTAAGACCAGCCACAGTGCTTAGGATAAAACTAGCCAACAAGCTTGCCACACCGGACCCAAGCAAGTAAAGAGAAGATGCAATACTCGACATACTCTTTGGGAATTCAGAATAGTAGAACTCCGTTTGGCCTATAATGTTCAAAGCATCTGCTAATCCATTGAGGACATGCTGTGGAATAAGCCACATAGCCGACATATTTACCACCGCCTGAGAGTTGTTCAAAAATCCTTCTTCAATTGCTTTGGTTTTCCGCGTGTGTTCTATGATCCCAGAAATCACCATGGCTGTTATTGAGAAAATAAGACCAACCCCCATTCTTAGTTTTACACTGATATATACCGGTTTCCCTCTGATTTTTGACAATAAGGGGATGATCACTCGGTCATATAGTACAACCCAAACCATTATGGTTATTATTGAGAAGAAGGAAAAGGAGCCTGCTGGGATTTCAAAGCTTGAAGTGATATGTCTATCCATGCTGTTAGCTTGGAGGACTGGAAATGTACTTTGGTTCATGGTCACAGATAACATGATACTGGAAGACCATAATGGTATCACTTTAATAAGCGCCTTTAGCTCTTCAACCTGCTCTACTGTGCAGAGGCTCCATGGATCTTTGGAAACTCCTTTGCTCATCTCTTCAGGTTCCTTACAGATGCAAGCTTTATTCAAGAACCTAAAGGGAAAGAAAGATGCCATAAACAGAGTAGTCTGCAGCCTGCTGATCGATATAGTAGTTATGTTAACTAGAAAGCAATGACATGTAGTGGACTGTTGGAGTCCTAAATCAACTAGACACCGACTATCAAACATGTATATATGTAGGAACTTTCCCTTTCTCTATAGGGGCTCTTATAGAGAGAGATTAAAAGGGATTCCACGTATTCTAATATAGTATCAGAGCCAGGGCCTAGCACCACCTAGGGGCTCGAAACTCTTTCACCTCCGCTCTTGGAGGAACCATCTAGCCTCCATTTGAGGGGGCGTGTTGGAGAGAGTCCCACGTCGGCAAGACACGAACTATCACACATGTATATATGTAGGAACTTTCCTACTTTCTGTAAGGGCTCTTATATATATATATAAATAAATATATATATATATATATATATATATATATATTATATAGGGTTGGGTTCACATGAAACTAGCCTGTTCTCGGAGACCCGTGAGACCACTTTTTTACACTTGAAACTTCACAGCAAAACCGAACCTTCACAAAAAAAAACACTGTGAAGGTTATCTTCACAACATTTTGTTGTGAAGTTTCTAAGTGTAAAAAAGTGGTCTCACGGGTCTCACGTGATCCCAAGTCTCTCTCTCTCTCTCTCTCTCTATATATATATATATATATATAAATATGGTATCCAAGCCGGGGTCTAGCACCATCTAGGGACTCGACACTCTTTTGCCTCCGTTCTTGGGGGCACCATCTAGTCTCCATTTGAGAGGGCGTGCTGGAGTCCCCTGTCGAGGCACTGACTATCAAACATGTATATATGTAGGAACCTTCCATCTTTCTATAAAAGCTCTCTTAAAAAGGGGTCCACATATCCTAACATGGTACCAAAGCTGGGATCTAGCACCACCTAGGGACTCACGACACTCTTTCGCCACCCTTTGAGGGGGGACGTGCTGGAGTCCTACGTCAGCTAGACATAGACTATCAAACATGTATTTATGTAGGAGCCTTCCATTTCTTCTACAAGGAAAAGGGGTTTCACATATCCTAATATAGAAATACAAAAGTCGTAGGCTACCTCAAGGTCTCTGTGGGGGTATTAACCTCCGTATCATTCCGATTATACCATGAGCCATCAGTCAGAGAAGGTAAGGTGAGCTTTCTGTTTTTCCAAGCCACCAATATCACTTGGCAAAAGCTAGTAAACATGCTTCTTTCAACCTTTGCCATGTAATACAGAGGATAAGCAACGACAAATAGGATTGTAGAAAAGAACATGAGAATTACTGGGATCCCGAAACCAACTCTCCATCCATATTGCTCTTGAATATAGACAATACCCGTAAATGCAATCAAAACAGCCATAATGGCGGTCGCGTAGTACCAGCCAAAGAAGCTCTCTAATACCCTCTCTCTCTTGGGATTATCTTTGCGGTCTATTTGATCTGCTCCAAATGCTAAGGAACACGGTCTTACCCCACCAGCTCCAATAGACATAAAACCGAAGGCTGAAAAGAGGAGCGTGTACTGGATGAACGTCGGTGATTTACAAGACTGAGGGACCTGGATATCACAAAAAATCGGTTTTGCGCCTGGGATCACTGTCGTCAACCATAGAAGGATCATCCCCTACAAAGAAATGGTTCCCTAGTTAGTTTAGGTGTAGAAACTGTTCGAGTCCTATAACGGCTAGCCACACACACCATCAAACATGTATAATTGTAGAAATATCTCCTCTTTCTACAAGGGATCTTTTAGAGAAAGATTAAAAAAGGGATTCAACAAATCCTCGCATGGTATCGGAGTTGGGATCTATCACGTCAAGGACTCAGCACACTCTTTCGCTCCCGTTCTAAGGGGCACCATTTAGTCTCCGTTTGTGGGGGCGTGTCGGAGTCCCACATCGGCTAGACATGGATACGTAAGAACCTCCGCTCTCTGGGCACTTTTAGATAAATATATATGCAGGAACCTCCCCTCTTTCTACAAGGGCTCTTTTAGAGAAAGATTCAAAGGGATTCCACATATCCTCACATGGTATCAAAGTCCGTGTCTACCACATCTAGGGACTGAACACGCTCTTATGCCTCGGTTCTAAGGGGCATCATCTAGGGTGCGTGTTGGAGTCCCACATTGGCTAGACATGGATATGTAAGAACCTCCGCTCTCTCTAGGGCTCTTTTAGATAAAGATGTGTATAAACGTAGGAACCTCTCGTCTCTCTACGAGGGCTCTTTTAGAGAAAGATTCAAAGGGATTCCACATATCCTTACATGGTATCGGAGTCAGGGTCTACCACATCTAGGGAGTCAACACGCTCTTATACCTTGGTTCTAGGGGGCACCATTTGAAGGAGCGTGTTGCGGTATGTACGAGCCTTCGCTCTCTCGACAAGGGCTCTTTTAGATAAAGATCTTTATATCTGTAGGAACTTCCCCTCTCTCTACAAGACCCTTTTAGAGAAAAATTCGAAGAGGTTCCACATATCTTCACAAACAGAAACATTGTTTATAAAATGAGTAGAGCATCATACCAGGAGACTGAAGATAGAACCAAGAAAAATAGTGAGGAAGCGTCCAAGAAAGGAATCAGAGAGGAAAGCACCAACGATGGGTAATAAATTGGTAGCAGCCATCCAGTTTAAGAGCACGGTCGTGCCCTGGGCGATTCCCATGTGGTAATCCGATGTGAGGTATGTTATCATGTTTGGCACTACCCCAAAACTTGCCACTTTCTCAAATGATTCATTGGCTGTTGCCATAACCAATTACAAGAGTATGAGTATAAATTCAGAAAGTAATAGAAATTTCAAGTACAAAATGCAACGACATTTGGTCTAGTTCCTATTTAGTGTGACGATTTTCTCAAGTTTATCGTCCACTTCACCATATCCCTTTTGTAAACGTTATCAAATATTACAAGATCAGTAGATTACCGATCAGAATACATAAAAAAATAGGAACTTTCGCAACTTCGGTATTTGGGTTGATGTCCCTTGTATTTTCTAATATCCCGGAACGCCCTTCAAAGTTTAGCATGTGCATCTTTCATACCCCAAAAAAGAATTCTACGTTGAGTGGATGCATGGGACCCTGCTAGGGATACTAAATAGGAACCAAGGAAAATTTCATTGCATTTTGATGCATTTTACCCACATTTAAACAAGAAACCAAACCACGCCTTCATATGTCGGCCCAAATACTAAATAGGAACTAAGGAAAATTCCGTTGCATTTTGCCCACATTTAAACAAAAAACCAAACCAAATAAACCCAATGTCTGGGAGGAGTAGGATGTACGCAAATCTTTCACTCTTGTCTCAAGAGACAAAAAGATTGTTTCCGTGAAGACCTCCGGCTTAGAAATTTAAACAAGCCATCAATATGTCATCATCGTATGCGTACCTATGATGAATGGCATGGTTATTAGACCACCCTTTTGCAGTCCTGATGACTTCTCCTGTTCCACATCTCGTTCTTCTTCTGTCAAACAAACCTCCATCTCTCTCTCCTTTTTTATGTACAGTATAACAAGAACACAGATTAAAACAAGTCTTTCTTGTATTGATAACCAACTACTTTATAAAGTGTCTATATCGTTCGATAAGGATAAAGAAACCAAACCAAATAAGCACCCAGATGCAGTGTTGAAGTAGGTAGGATATGTGCAGACCTTTCCTCTGTCTCAAAAGACAAAAAGACTGTTTCCGAGAAGACAGGCTCTAATGAATCTGGGCAATTGCATCAGTTATCTATAGAAGTTCTGGTGCAAGCTTATGACCTCAACTTTGATCTTGATTTCTTTCCCTCTCATTTAATATAGTCAAATGACAGCCTTTTTTCTAAGTGTATAATATTTATATACAGCAAAACTCACGCATACTGGTCTTCTTTGCTGAGGTATGAACCCTTGACCTTCGGGAGTTTGGGCTCTACCGATAACCCGGGTACTGCAGGGCCAAAAACTCTTTAAAACAACTTTCTTGGAGTTGTACATGAAACTAACACTTAGTGTCAATGTATTTGGTTTATAGTTCACATGGAATCTCTTAAAATCGAAATAGGGCGGTAGAGGGTATCGTTACGTCATATGCGTTTGGAATTTTGGGTATGTGACAAAAGAAAAGGCCTCGGTGTTAGCTTAGATTTGCTAAGATTGGAATGATCGGTTTTTTTGTCGAGGTTTGCTCTTGTTTTTAGTATCCATGAGCCAATACTGAAGTCTGAAGTCTTATTTCACTTCTTATTGATAAGATGTGGTGTTAAGATCGAAAAGGAAATGAGGTCAGTAACACCAAATTTTACACAAAAGAAAAAAAAAGGCCTTCATGTTTCTCACCCTGTTAAAAAGAAAAGCCTTCATGTTTCTCACCCTGTTAGGCATCTCCAGTCAGTTGCACCAAATTTTACACAAAAGACATAAAAACTGGTAATTTGATGCAAAACAATAAATCTACTACTTCAGTCGGTAAAACCAAATCTTACAGCAAAAGGCCTTTGGCCTAGCGGTATCATAGCATTTGGCCTCCTAGAAGGTGAGGGAGAAGAGTGTGTGAGTTTATTTGTTGCATTTATACCAAATTTGGTGTCCCCATCGGAATGGTTTGGTTTTAAGTTTGGTATCGGATGTAAGATTTGATGTTCTCATAGAAGATGGTCTTTTATCATTTCAAATTTGGGTTAAAACCGCAGTAAAACAGGCTCATTTTTTTGTCATTTGTCATTCATTATTTAATGTTGGGAAATCTATTGGTGTCCTAGGCGTAGAGGGGGTCGCAGTGACCAGGCCCGGTGACAGGTCTCTGCTTCCTCTATTTTTTTAATATGTAATCTCTTTTCATTTATTTATTTAAGTAGCATTTATCATCGAATATTTAGCCTCAAGCCCTCAATCATTCGACTTGATTGAGGATTTGGGACTTCGTTAATGTAAGATTTCCGGTTCTTAACCATACTCATCTGGTAAGCTAAGGGGTCGTTTACTTGGTAAGTGCTTACCGAGTCACTTACCGTACCGGATGAACATAGGATCAAGAATCTTATTTGGTAAGTGAGAGTGACGACTCTTACCCGGTTTGCACTTAGCAGATAAGTTGTTGCAAATAGTCATCCAAAAGAAACGGGAAAATCCATCAAGTGGCTGGTGAATGGATGCAAAATGCATACAGCTTTATGAAAGTTGGGATGGACATCTTCGTGCCTTTATCTTCACTACTCTTCTTGCCAGTCTTTTTTTTCTGTTCACACTTTTGTATAAATAGGGGTGTTCAAGGAAACAACTGTTTTACCCTTTGGGATAGAGCTCAGAACTGCATATAATATATCCCATACGGCTAGACCCTGTTTTCAAACTAGGTTGGTTTGGTTTTAGATGTACCTCTTGGCTAAAAAGTGTTGATCTCACGACCTTTGAAAATGCATATGACTATAACGCTCTAAAGTGAATCATCGGAGGCGACTCCATGCACGAAAATTTTTGGCTTCCCCAAAGTTGTTCATGCATGATGTCTTTCTTGCACGCTAAAAAAAACATCTCCAACAACTATGTTAAAATAGAGATTTTGAGCATATTTTGTTCTAATAGTTATGCTATAATCTATGCTAAAATAGAGAAAAGAAAAGGAGATGGTAGAAATTTCCAAATTTGAAAAAATATTTAAAACTCCATATACAAGAGAGAGAGAGAGAGAGAGAGAGAGAGAGAGAATATATAATAGGAAATATAGAAAGCAAGTATTGAGGAGAAAAAAACAATATTTTAATATTATAGTTAATGATAAGATTGCTAAAATAAAATAGTTATTGGAGTTGAATGTGATATCAATTTTGACCTTTCATACTTTATTTTATAAAAAGTAAAACATAGTTGTTGAAGATTTGCATAGTGGAAGAGTGTAAATAGACCAGCTTCAACCCTCCTCGTACCAACTGTTCACATTTATATTCTTTAATTTGTTCCAAAATAAATATTTATATTCACTTCTTTCTACTCTTATGAAAAATTTCATTAATCTATGTTAAGGGTATTATTGTCATTTTTTTTCCTAAAAAAAGCATTATTACCATTTAGTTAATTAAAAAAACATAATTCACACATTTTTAAAATTAGGTGCCTTTTGCATTGTAGATATTTACTTTGAGACATAAGTATTAGTATAAAAAAAAAAGTTCACTTCTAGATGTTTGCACTGTTTTTTAAGTATATACTCTTTTCGTCTTAAAATAAATATCCACAATGAAACTAACACATAATTATTACACATTTTAATTTCACAAAATGACAATTTTAGCCTTGATTATAGAGATGGAAATTTCCTCCACTTCACCTCATAATTAAGGGTAGAATGTGGTATAATAGACATTTACTTTTGAAAGTGATAAATTTAGGAACAAACTAAAATAGCTTATTTTTAGACAAAAGGTGTAATATTTATATAGAGCAAATACTAGCTATCATTGAACTTAATTGTCCATTATGTAAAGAATGTGCACACTGAATGTAGCAAATTATATTTGCTTTCTCAAGGGGACATTAATTCCTTGATTCTTTCTCTTTGTTGTTTGTTCTAACAAATCTGTAGATGAACCTCCTTGGACTATGTTCATTAGGTGTTGATGGAACTCTGTTGTTGCATAGCAACAACCGCTTCGTTACATCTCGAGCACCGGAACGATGTAGTTGAAGCACATCGTGTTCTAAGACAGTAATAACAATACCTGCCAAAAACGACAACATAAATGTATGTAAATATGTCTAAAATTTTCAGCAACAGAAAACGACCACTGAGTTATATCAGCCATCAAAAGTTATGATATGTCCCTCAGAGCATCTCCATAAATACTCTAAAATAAAGAAAACGGAGATTTTGAAGTTTTTTACCTATTTTTTTAGGTATAGGAATGAGACACGCCCCATTGAGAAACTATGTGTACAAGCCCCGATGGGGACGGGGGGATGGGAACGAACACTTAGCGCATAAAACAAAGTGCGCCAAACCACAAGGGTGGTGCCTGATTGGTTTGAGCTTGGCTCCAAAGGCCAAAGGTACCTGGAAGTCTCAGGTTCAAATCCAAGGACAAGGGACAGACTCGGTGGGAACCCTTGGACTTCGACACTAATGTTGAAACAAAAGGGTGATACTGATAGGGAGCTGAATTGCAAGCGTTTGGTTTTAGTGGCAGGTTGGGTAATGTTATCTCCACATTTTCTCTATTTTTTCTATCCACCTTGAGGACAAGGTAAGCTGCTTTTTTTTTTTTTT